GGAATAACCATGTTAAATGTAGTATGTTTATTTTAATTAAAACTAGAAATAGGTATAAGATAATACAAATGAGCTCGCTATAAACACACAAAATGTATTAGAAATAATAGTGAAGCATTTAGAAGCATATATATTTCACTCATCGAAAAAATGAAATATTCGTATAAACAAGAAACCAGAAATACTCCTTTTTTAATTATAAATACATTAGTTACATAAATAATTTATTTAGAATTTGATTAAAAAGCTTTGTTAAACACAGTAAGTTGAAATAAATAATTTTTTTTCATAATTATCCACAATTATCTCGCATTAATGTTGTATTAATTGTCAAAGATAATCCAACTTTTTAAAGTATTTCATACAAAGTATTTCGAATTTTGTGTTATACGTAGCAATAATAATATCATTATTATATACAATAATTATACGCAATAATAACATTATATATACTCAATAATAATATTATTATTATATTATTATATACGTATAAAGTATCTTTAGTTTTAATTAATTAATAGAAGCATAAGAAAAGTTTGTACTTGTGAAAAATGATTCTAAATTAATGTAGAAGTTTTAAATCCATATAGATGGATTACCATACTGAAATTTTATATATACTTCTTAGTTTTTGTTTAACTAAATGTTCCAACCAAAACTTTTCCATAAACGAGAGATGTTTGTAGAAAGATAGCGGTTGTGGACTTATAAGTACTTATTTATATGATTTTTATAATTTTTATAATAAGTACAATTTACTTATAAGGACCTTATAAGGGCTTATTTATATGATTTAAAAAATTTTTATAATAAATACAATTTACTTCTGAACTTTTTTCATCATTAATTGTACACGTATATGTAATAGTTATTATTATATTAATAATATTAATTAATATATCTCTAATATTGCAGTTATCAGATGAAGAAATAGAACGTTATTAATTTGGAAAGTTGACATAAATGGTTTGCACACATTATCGTAAAAATTTTACTTATTTATGATATTAATAAGATCTTGTAAGTATGTCATTATGTTCAAATCTCAATTTCAAGTTATTCTGATAATGCGTACGTTGCTATACGGTTAATTGTTAAGCAAGAAAATATATATATTATATATATTTGTGTAATAATATAATCACAAAAAGAGAGAAATATGTAATAATTAATAAGAACTTTAATTCTTAAAATTTAAAAGCTATTAACAGTCAAATTTTTAAAAAATTTTCTTGATTTTAATAACGTAACTAAATTGTTTTATTTGATGTATATGTATATGTGTACATATATACATAGATAAAAATATATAGATATAATTCTAAAATATATTAATTTATTTTTAAATCTCTGCATTAACACGAAATGAAACAATTTAGTTACGTCATTAAAACTAATAAAATTTTTATGAAATGGCTGTTAATAGCTTTTAAATTTTAAGAATTGAATATGATTTCGTAGGGGAGACCGGGGCGAAATGTCATCTTTTTTCACTTTTGATTATTGTCTATTTACTATTGACTAATTTACTAAATTCTGTTGATCACGTAGACATCATAAATAACGTTTATAATATTAACGAATTCACATAATATATAGATATCGAAATTCAAAATAAGATCTATTTCTAGAACAATATTGGCATTTCTAGACATGACATGTTTCAATAATTTTATTTATTTAGTAATAAAATTATTTTACATTATTACATATTTTAAAATATTATAATTATATGAAGGAATTAAGATTATCAAAAATAATGATTATATGAACACTTGACTTTTCTCTAACGGCCAGAACGTATGATAAAATAGTGAGTTGACAATTTTTTTAAATTAATTATTATTAAAAATCGTTTTATGAAAATATTGCAATAATTATCTTAGTATACAATTATAATAAATATTATTCTAAATAATAAAATTTGTTATAATTCAACAAGATTGACCAACGAATTATTTAAACTTGTAGCTGTATTCAAATATATAATACAACTTGTACAAGTGTATTTAAATACGAATTGTATATTTTTTATGTTTTAATATTACATAATATTGATCTTTACATTTCCACTTATTTTGATTCATAGTGTTTTATGTGTATATACTATCGTATATTAAAGTATTTAATTTTTGTAACAAATTGAATCGGAATGGTTTCAAATTATTATTATTTAATAATTTTGTACTCTTAAAAATTTTTTTGGAATATTTGTAATTCTTTGAAAAGAATTTAAAATAATTTTAACTAAATTTGAAATATACAAATAAAATTTATTTGTTGTTTAATTAAAATCTATAATTAAAAATTTTAATTAAAAGATTTATTTCAAATATCGAGTAATTAATTGATTAGTTTAATTCGATGTAAATAAATTTATGTATTGAAATTCTTTCCAAAATTTGTAAATTTTGAAATCAGTGAGATTTTAGTAAATTAAAAATATTTTGTGTATATACATATAATTAAAAATATATAAAAAATAAAAATAAATTAATATTGTAATTTATATATGTTTATTTATTATACATTTATTTTTTAATATAATTGTCACAGTTTCTCACTTAATTATACAGAGTATCACTTAATTGGCGCCCAATATTTATATAGCGATATTCCTCGTGGAAAACTGAGTCAAAAAGTTCTGTACCATTTTTTTCTGTAAGGCATAATAAAGTAGTAATTATTCAGTAACGCATTAACGTTACTGAAAAATTATTACTTTATTATGTCTTACAGAAAAAAAACTAATTATATTATCACAATAATTTGCGGACATTTACTCGTTAATTATCAATAAATGCTATTATGTAAATGTGATATATAAGATTATTATATAAATAATTTAATAAAACATTGGGTTGTAATTAATTAATTATAATAATCGTTACAAGTAATAATTATTATAATTAATTAATTACAACCCAATGTTTTATTAAATTATGTATATAATAATCTTATATATCACATTTACATAATAGAATTTATTGATAATTAACGAGTAAATGTCCGCAAGTTATTGTGATATAAAATGTAGTTTTACACATAAATTAATGACTAATCAAAAACTTTTTAAATAATTGTAATTTTAACATTTTTATATAAAGAATTTTGATTTTCTGTAATTATTAGGTATACATCCATCTAATAAACAATGCTGATTAAATATATTTTATTTTATTATTCCTTTTCTGAAGCTTAGCAGAAAAATATAATAACTCAAAAATGTTCCATTCATTTTTCATTAAAAAATTGCATAATATAATATAAATTGTAAAGCGTCTTGAATATTAATTAATTTACAAATCGAAAAAACTTCTGTAAATTTATTGCAGCGTATGATCTTTGTGCAACATCTGTTATGTATTTAAAGTAAAATGGGAAAGAATACAAAGAAAACTAATATTTTTTGATATATTTTATCAGAAAAATATTCCAATGATTTCTCATCTTTAATTTCATAATTTCATGCATTATTAAAAAATCGCGATTTTTAAACAATTTATATAGTTTAATTATTTCTAAAATATTTTTATTATTGAAATAAATAATTTTTGAGAAACTTCTTTCACATTACTGATTTCTGAATTTTTTAAAAATTTTTCTTTCCGGATAAAGTCTGTTCTACAATTGCGTAAACGTAGTTGTAAATAGTTGTACGGTATCATATAAAAAGCAGTTTTAAACTATCGTTTGCAAACGGTAGTAATGATTTAATTTAAATAAACTATTAATGGTTTAAATAAACTATTATTACCGTTTGCAAACAGTAGTAATAGTTTTAAAACTGTTTTTTATGATACAACCACTTACAACTACGTTTACGCAATTGTAGAACAGGCAAATTTTTAAATATGATCAACTTTCATTCATCAGTATAAAAAAATCTCTTTCTCTTAAAAATGATGTAACATTGAATGGCAGAGAATTAATAATTAAATTTGCGTAGTTCTCACAAACACATTTATTGGAATCAATATATGAAAAATATTCTTGGAACGCGAGAAAGGTTTTGTCGTTTTCGTTCTGTAAATATGTGAGAAATGCGTAATATATCATTTATATGTGACAAAAATGTATCGTCGGTTAGATATTACAACATATATGTATATAAAGTACTTACATTCTCGTGCATTTGTTTTTTTTTTAATCCATATGCACTTGTTTTTCTTAATCCATAGATTATTATGTTGACTTTTACAGTATGGCACATGTTTTTACACATTTTTAACTATTCAACTTTTGTAATGTAGACACGATAAATAAAGGCCACTGGTAGTAAAAATGTGAAACGTTCGATATCGCACACAAGACAGTATTTACATTTCTTACACACTTTCGCGTCTCAATCGTGACTGAGTTCGTTTCAAAACATATAATGAAATATAATCCCAAATTCATGATGTCCCGAGACCCGACGCTTGTCGATTGTATCCGAATTAACGATCGGATCTCCTCGAGAAATATTGGTATTTATAGCGAAGCTTCGTGCACGACCCGAGAAATCGTGTGAAAATCCGAGCCCTAGAGATATTTTAAGGGGATGCTGGAGTGAGTTTGTTGTTTTTTTCCTGTTTTATCGACAAAATGTGAAGTTAGATAAAGTATAAATAGATTATTCTTTTTATTGGCAGCTTGTACATACAAAATAAGACCAGGCCGGATTTGGCATTAGATAAAGGAATATAAGTGAATGTTTAGATATCAATTTGGAAGCCTAGTAAACGATAATAACTCATCCTAAATTTTCATGTGTGCACGAAAATGTAGAATGAGTTATTTTTGTTTATTAATATTTTTAATTTTTTAATATTTTTTATATTTTAGTTAAAAATATGTTATATTATGCGTTACATATTTAAACTCTTTTTTGTGATAGACCATGTATGTACACGTGCTCTAACTTGTCCCTAAAAAGCTGAAAATATGAAAAGTAAAAATATTGATAAAGTTTAACATTGTAGTTTAAGTCGTGATTTTGGGGTCATGTTATTATATATTCCGCGACGAAATCAGTCACGAGTGAGACGCGAAAGTATATACACGAGAAATATAAACACTGTCTTGTACGTACACGATAACGACTGTTTCAAATTCTTATTACTAGTGGTCTTTATTTATCGTGTCTACATTTTCAAGATTTAATAGTTAAAAATATATAAAGACTTATTAGCAATACTGTGAACGAAAATTCAATCAGCATAATAAATGTGTATGTAAGAGTTATACGCAAATTTAATCATCGACACTAGCATTTAACGTTACACCAGCTCTGTGAAGAAGAGATATATTTATTGGAATAAAAAAAGATGGCTAGTTTTAAAATTTCCGCACCGGGCAGAATCGTCTTATCCGGAGAACACTCAGTGAGCTATGGAAAAAATTTTGTTACGGCTAGTTTAGATCTTCGTACCAACCTCGAATTCTGCGAACTACCTGTGTTAGGATTGATTAAGATAGATTTTCCACGTGTTCATCTACAGAAGAGTATACTTCACAGAATTGTCGCAGACTATTTTTCTGATGAAAAAGTCTCAAAAATTCGATTACAGCGAAGCAATTTACCCAGATACGTGAATCAGTTTATCGACATGAACCATTTGTGCGACACACGCGAGCAGAGATTTAGCTTACAAATGTTCTTCTACTTATTTTGTATGATTAAAAATCTCGCGATAAAACCTTTTTACCTTCGCGTGTTTACGAATTTACCCAGTAGCCCTGGTCTTGGCAGTTCGACATCATTCGCGGTTTGTCTGGCAGCATGTTTTCTTCATTGGAAGCGTCTACAGAAGGGTGGTGGTCAGTCTAATGAATTTAATAAAGATGAAATAAGGATAATTAAAACTTACGCTAGATCCTGCGAAGAGATTATCCAACAGAATACATTCGCGTTCCTCGATGTTGAAATTTGTGTACGCGGTGGAATACAAAAATTGCGACATCACAGTTATATCCAATATTCTAGGAATACCATCGATTTCGTATCAGGACTAAAGCTTTTATTGATTGATTCAACTGTTCGCCAAAAGAGGGAAGAACGAGCGCAACAAATGGTTGATCTGCGATGTAGAAATCTGCACGGTTTCTTTTCTTTATTAGATGTATTAGACGTATTCGCAAGAAATATATGGTATAAGCTTAAGTTATTGAAAAGTAAGAAATATAATAATCCCGTAGACAGTTCACCTAGACAGGATCTTTACTGTCAGATAGAGGTATTTTATCGTTTTTATTTTACAATTATAATATTTTATTATACATATACTGAAAAAAATTCATGTATTTTTACATGGAAATTACTTGTTTAGAACTGATAAAGTTAGTTGCATATTACTGTAATTTTTTTATTTGTTTTGAAGTAAAAAAGCATTAATGTAAAAATATATGTAAAATTACAATTTTTATGCAAAAATCATATGTAATTTAAAATTTGCTATTTTTACTTTATTAGAACTTTATTTCATAAGTATTTATCCATTTTATTTATAACATTATTTTATAACATTTATACATTACTAGCATTTCTATGTATAATTCCATGTTCAGTAGAATATTTTTAATCTTGAAAATATATAAGAACATATTACATATAAAATTATACATATAAACTGTAATTATACATATAATCTTCCATATAAGTAGCAATATTATATGATTATGGCCCGACAAATGCCTAACATAATCTCTTAATTTTATACAAATATACGATAGTTTCTATCTTTGCTGCATTTACAAAATTTTCTAGTATATAATTATCTGTTAGAATCTGTATCTTTTTATAACTAACATTTTTCATATTTTGCAGAACGAGATTAGGAGAAATCAACTATTATTGAAATATAATAATTTGTCGGATCCGAAAGTTGATGAAGTTTGTTCGTTTGCAAAAAATTTTAAATTGAACGGAAAGCTTACAGGTTTTCAAGGCGGATATGTATACATTCTGCTACCTCCAATGCTTACAGATGAAAAAATCGAATATATTAAGGCACAATTCTTAGAACAATATCCCAATTGCGTATCTACCACCTTTGATTATGATGGAGTGAGAATTGATCAGTAATTCTATTCTAAAAACATAGCGACGTTATATATATAAATGATTAAATAATGACTCACTAAACATAAAAACTAGGACAAAATTTTTAATTTAATAACTGTAGTATTTTAAGGGAAATAAGACCAACGATATACACTTTTTAATATATATATTATGTTGTTTAAAAATAACGATTTTTTAATGACATTATATTGAACTATGAAATTAAAGACCTCAGAAATAATTGAATATTTTTCTTGTAAAATATATCAAAAATTATTAGTTTTGTATTCTATCTCGTTCTACTTCAAAAATATATTATAATTGATAAAAATGATGCTTCAAGTTCATGTGCTGCAATAGAATTTGCAAAATACTTTTTTAATTTATAATATAATTGATATATAAAATGTTTTATAATTTAATTATATAATGCTATTTGAATGAAAAATAAATTGAACAGTTCCAAATAATAGTTCAAAATTATTATTTTTCATTAAAGTAATAACGCTATATAACTCATAAACGCAAATTATGAAATATAGTTTGTATGTCTATATTTTATTATCACATGTTCTACTTTTGGAAATATGAAGATGTAATTAAATAAATTATACATACAATTATTTTGATAATATATACAAAAACTAATATTTCAATATATTTTAGTACTATCGAAAACGACTGCTACATGAAAAGAATAATTTATTTTAATAAATTTTTAAATTTACGTGTTTTTCCATTTTAACTTCATTATTCAAAATAACTTGAATAAAATAAAGAAAAACGTAATCAAAATAACAAAATATTTGTCGCTTTATCATATGAATTATTATATTATTATTCAAGAAGATGAGAGCAAAGTTTCTTTTTTTTACGTTATTAATACCTATGTGAAAATGGCCGTATATTACTACCACATAAATTAATTGCAACATTTATTACAATTGCCTTTTTATAATAATTATAAATTGTATATTTCTATTTTTATTTTTATATATCTTTAATTTTATATTTTAAAGATTCATCTGTACTTATCTTTATATAACCATTAAGAAAAAAGAAAATTCTTCTATTTCAATATTCTCGGGTTCAAATTCGTCATACATTAAGTTAATTGTTAAGTCAAAATGAGATCATATCTTTTATATCTAAAACATGACAGAAATTGCAATATATTTATTTTTTTTTGTCAAAATTATGTAATTAAATTATATTAAATAATATTATTTTACATACTGCATTTTATTATATTGTGGTAGTTATTGATACTGTTAAATTGGTTATTGATTTCATTAAAATTATGGGGATGTTATATATTAAAAATTAAATAATAACAAATTATTAAATGTAAAAAAATGTGACAATATTTCTAATAACTTAATTACTGGGGTATTTAAGAAAAGTACGACAATCAATATACAATTGTTTTCAATATAAATATATATTCTGTTGTATAAAGTTTGCAATTCTTAATAATTGTCGTATTAAATTATGAAGTCAAAAATGAAAAACCATTAAATATTTTTCTTGTAAAATATTAGTTTTTTTATATTCTAGATTATCTTATTTCAAAAATATAATAGATAAAAATGTTGCGTGAAGATTATTGGCTGCAATAAATATAATCAAAGATTCTTTTGATTTGTAATTATAATAAATTACAAATTAGAAACAGATGTGCAGAGTTGTCGATCCGATGAGAAATGTTTCTTAATTTGTGATTAAAAATAGATCGAAACATTTTGAGTTATATTTATTTCTATAAAGTTAAAAAAAAAGAATTACCAATAAAAATTGTTTTTTAGTATTCTTTTAGGCAAACATACGTCTATGAGTTGCGTGGTTGATGATAACCGTGAACATTTCATTCGATATACGAACTTACGTCTGCCTGAAAACGCAGGCTGGTTATATAACTTTTATTTAATTATTTTTTGAGCATCAAAAAATATTTTGAGAATCTTCCATTTTTATCGAGCAATAACACAATGTAATTTGTGGGCGCGAATTATGAGACAAATGAGACATCGAGATTTTTGTGATTAATTAACACTATAGTGGTCTATATATTTAATTATTTTGAATAAATTATGAGGCAAATGTAAATAACACCTGCATTTATTACAGTAATTAAGCAGAACGTTTTCGGTATATTTTGTTAGTATCGAATCCTAGTAGGATAATATACAAAAAAATTTTATTTATTTTTATAAAGAACCAAAAATATTTACATGCTTTTTCACTGTTAATATCATTATTTAAAGTGTCTTAAATAGAAAAACGATAATGTAATAGATGCAATATTTATATTGATAGTAATTAACATATTACGAATTGATGTAGTATTAAACGGATGTTAGAAAATAATTATATTTTGTCTAAGAATGTCCATATGATAACGTGGAAAATGATGTAATTTACTTCTACATAAAACAATTGCAATAATAATAATTCCAATTGGATTTGTGCGATATGTACTGATAGCCTCATATAAGACATTCAATTATATTTTATTCTTTATATCTTTAAATAGATTTATGAAAAATTTAATGAAAAAAATGTATATTATTATTGTATAAATGTATATTAAATGATTATTATATTACTATAAATGGCAATTTTCTTTTTTTTACATTACTTGAAATTATATAATTATATTCTATCAAACAATAATGTGATTTGTATAATTATATTATTATTTTACAAGTTATTCAATATGCAAAATTTTGTATGATACAATTTAATTATGTAATAAACTGCATCAAAAGTTTTATATATATATATATATATATATACATGTGTATATATATATATATATATATTTATTTATTTATAGATGTATATGTATATATTTTATTTAAGCATAAAAAGATATATAATATTTTGATGCAATTTATTACATATAGTTACTATATATTGTACATATATTACCTAAACTTAGGAGTTATTAATTTTATTTCAAATTATTTTATAAAAAAATAAATCTTTAGTATAAAAAACTCAAGATATAAAAAGTTAATAGAAACAAATATCCATTTGCTTTAGACAATCTCTATTGTGCAAATTAAATTGTAATAATTGTCATAATTAATTTATATCATAGTAATATAGTAATTTCCATATAGCCATTATTAGCGCAAAAGAAAATTGCTGTTATTTAATTTAAAATTATAACACAATAAGTCGTTAACTCGATACATATTTTATTATCTCTATTATATGTAATTTTTTATTCAATTTGTTTTCTATAATAAAGTTCAAAATAAAAATAAAAAATGTAGATTACTTTTAAAAGTTTATGACAATAAATTATTCTTTTTATATAACACTCATTTTTAATAGTACTAAAATGTATCAAAAGTATATTACACTTTATTATCAAAATAATTGCATGTAACTTATATAAAAAAATAAATGTATAACTTATTTAATTATGTCTTCGTAATTTTTTTTACAAGTCTAGAAAGTGTGATAATACATATAACGTGTTTCAAAATTTGTAATTATAAATTAAATAGCGTTATTAGTATAATTAATAAAAAACAAAAAAATTTACTAAATAGACTATCAAATTCTCATTAAATATCTAAAGTTGACAACCATATCCACACGTATATAACATTTAACATTATTTCTTTAACATTATATCGACATAAGGAAACTCAAAATTAATAAATGTTTATGGTTCATGAAGTAATTAATAATTGTGGCGACTAGCAACAAGTAATAACAAAAAAACATTGCGTTCCCGAGAGTGCAGAAGTGGCGACCGGCCACATTCAACCCTTTTCTCGGAAAACAAGTATAGTGGCCGGCCGCGACTAACTATTTATTCGCGAAATAAGTGAGGCCGGCCGCGCCATCTACGTGGGTAGTAACGCGTGCCGCCGCTATGCGGCGCAGTGCGGGCGCGCTACCCATAAGTGAAATACACCCACGTAGAGGATATAAGGAGACCCCCTGCGGTGAGAAAACAACTCCTGGTACTTGTCGTTTTCCATCGTATCTCTTTTAAATATATTTAAAAAACTCAGAAAATGTTTTTGCGCGTAACCAAAATAAAAATACCGTGATAACACTTGTCGAATATTTTCGTTTGGTATAATACGAAGATGAGTAACGTCGTTTATGTGTGATAAAAATAACTCGTGTATGAATATCGATTATAATGTCAAAACTTTTTGATAATTTAATAAAACTTTGACTTAACTTTTATCACATTTATGAGAAATTATTGGAGTTACATAATCGAAAAATGAATGATTTATGAAACATTTTATGTCTTATCCTAACAGAATTTGACAAAAAAATATGAAAATATGTAACATATTAATGTTTTGAGGATTAATCTTAATTATTTTGTGCATAGAATAATGAGATATATCAATTAATGTATATTTAATATAAAAATTTAATTAAAATAGCAAAAAAATAAAATTTAAAGATTAAGAAAGAAAAAATAAAGAAATTAATTATGCCCCCTCCTAGAAAAAATGGTGGATGCCCATGAAAAAAATATATTTAATTATACAAGAACATTAATTATTACAAGACAGATTTTATACATTTTCATGTTTTATAACATTTCGCGTCTCGATTATGACTGATTTCTCATCAATAATAACGTTTCAAAGATATGAACCAGAAAATTACAAATGCACGAAACTTTTGATACTTTAATCAAACTTTAACTTAACTGTTAACTTCATTATTTATACATTTATGTATAATAACTATAGACATACACACTTACATACATAATTAAAATATAGTAATGTATATTAATTACAATTAAAAATTAGACAAATTATTATTATTTTATTCTTGTGATACACAATATATAAAAATACAAAATATATTACATATATAAAAAAATTCTTTCTTGTCGATCAGTATATAAAATATATCATATAAAATATGCTGTACTTATGTTAAATTATATTGTTTAATATAATTTATTTATATAATTATGATAATATAAAGGTGAATATAGATTGCAATCTTTGTTCTTTTATAGATTTCTATAATAAAAGTTTAAGTTGATTTAATAATTAACTTGATGTATCTCGAATTTCGGATCGAAAGTACTAAAGCAGAAATAATTCATTTCTTTTTCTTAATTATTTTATAAAAAGATCCCTATAAGTCTTTAGTATACAAAACTGAAGATATAGAAAAGAAATAGAAATAAGTATCTTTTTCCTTTATTCAATATTTTTATTGTCCAAATCTAATTGAAATAATTGTCGTTATTAATTTTTATGTCGTAGTAATTATTTTCACATAAAAGTATTATTAGCGCAAAACTTTTTTGTTATCTACGCAAGTAATGATATATAGCAATTTGTATGTTAAATGAACAAATACTTTAAAATTTCAATTATGATTTCCGCTTTTTTTTCTTCAAATTTCTTTGATTAATAAAGTTTAAAATGGAAAGACATGTAAATGTAAGAGTTTATGAAAATAAATTATTCTTTAAATTTGGCGTCTGTTTTCTGTAGTACTAAAATATATCAAAAATATTACTTTTTATTTATCAAAATAATTGAATGCAATTTATTTATTATATCTTTATATTTTCAAAAATAGAACACGTAATAATAAATTACAGATGTACATGTTTTATAATATGAAAAATTGAAAATTTTAAATTATTATTTCTGAATGCGGGTAACAGAAAAATATGATCTAAAAAACCCCGCACCAGATGAATTTTTTATATCTATATAATAGATAATAAATGCTTTACTAACGGACTACGCTAATTATATATTTTATTTTGTAATTTCTTTTTTTAAGAATTGCAGAAAAAATATAATTCAAAATTGTTCAACTCATTTTTTATTTAAATTGCATTATATAATTTAAATTATGCATTAAGTATATAAATTAATTTATATGTATATCAAAAAAGTTTTTTGCATATGTTATTGTAATGGTTGATCTTGGCATGCAACATATATATGCATCACTTATATTTTTAATTAGAATGGGATAGAACACAGAAAAATTAATATTTTTGACAAATTTTGCAAGAAAAATAGTCAATGATTTTTTACCTTTAATTTCATAATTCAATCATTAAGAGTTTACTAGCTTTAAGCAACAGAATATATATATATATATATATATATATGTATATGTATATGTATAATATATATGTATATATGTATAAAAATAATATAGATAAAAAAAATATATATATATAAAGGGGGCACAATTATTAATTTAATAACTGCCAGATTTTAAGAAAAGTAAGACAAACAATATACATTCCTATTAAATGTTAATATATATATATACATATATATATTTTATATATATATATATATATGTATATATATATATATACATATACATATATATATATTAAACAGAAATGTATATTATTCTAAAATTATATAGCGAATTTTATAATAATTTTATATAAATAATTATATATAAATAGTAACAACTATTCGCGCCAAAAGAGGGAAGAATAAGCGGAACAATTAGCAAAGCTGAAACTTACGTGACGATTTAAATTCTACACTAAACAAATTAGTCGAAATGGCTAAAACAATATATAATAGGTTTAATTATATTAGTAGTATAACTAATATCCTAATGCCCATAAGAATGCTTACAAAACTTGCAGATATTTTTTTGTGTTGTATGGCAGCGGTCTACTTTAGTTTTGGTTGCGTAGACAAGATTATTAAATTATTAAATTAATAATTGTGCTCTATGCTTATATTTGATTAGTTGTTATTATTTAACCATTTATATAAAATTCGCTATAATTTTAGAATAGAATTATTTATCAATTCTTAGTCCACTATGATCGATGTTGGCAAATATGTAATTGAAATGTTGTTTCAACAAGTGTGTCTCTATGCGTTTGATGTCTTCTTTTGTAATTAGTGGCAGTAGAAAGTATACGTATCCACCTCCAAAACCTGTAAGCTTTCCTGCCAAACCAAAGTCAGTTCCAATCGAACAAATCCTATCAATTTCCTCATGCGACAAATTATTATCCTTCAACAGTTGCTGATTCTTCATAATGTCTGCCTGCAAAACACGAAAAATGATAATTATAAAACTATATAGTCTTTAGCAGATAATTACTATAAAATCTTGTCCACGTAATCAAGACTGAAGAATATAATATATAATAAAACAATATCACACACGGTTAAATAAAAACGGAAAAAATACCTGCAAGTCTTTGTAAGCTTTCTCATGGGCATTAGAATCGTTGATATTAGCTATACTACTAATATGAGTAAATCTTTTAAATATTGTTTTTGTCATTTCGACTAATTTGTTTAACATAGAATTGAAATCGCTAGGTGAATGTGTCAGCCCTGCTATTTGTTGCGCTCGTTCTTCCCTCTTTTGGCGAACAGTTGAATCAATCAATAGAAGCTTTACTTCTATATTCGAATACAAGGTCTCCGTGATATATTCTTTATAATTCTTACGTAGACAGGATTTTAATCGGCCGGTTATGCAAATTTGCGCATCTATCGCTGCAATCACATGATCTTGCAAAATTTCTTCGCAGGATTTAGCGTAATTTCTAATTTTACGGATTTCATTATGATTAAATTCATTAGACTGATCATCACCCTCCTGTAAACGCTTCCAATGAAGAAAACATGCTGCCAGACAAACCGCGAATGATGTCGAACTGCCAAGACCAGGACTACTGGGTAAATTCGTAAACACGCGAAGGTAAAAAGGTTTTATCGCGAGATTTTTAATCATACAAAATAAGTAGAAGAACATTTGTAAGCTAAATCTCTGCTCGCGTGTGTCGCACAAATGGTTCATGTCGATAAAGTGATTCACGTATCTGAGTAAATCGATTGGATATGGTCGAATTTCTGAGACCTTTTCATGAGAAAAATAGTCTGCGACAATTCTGTGAAGTATACTGTTCTGTAGATGAACACGTGGAAAATCTATCTTAATCAATTCTGACATAGGTAGTTCGCAGAATTCGAGGTTGGTACGAAGATCTAAACCAGCCATGACAAAACGTTTTCCATACATCGCCGAGTGTTCTCCGGATAAGACGATTCTGCCCGGTGCGGAAATTTTAAAACTAGCCATCTTTTTTTTATTCCAATAAATATATCTCTTCTTCACAGAGCTGGTGTAACGTTGAATGCTAGTGTCGATGATTAAATTTGCATATAGCTCTTACATACACATTTATCAGAAACGATGTATGTAAAATGTATTCTCGTAACGCGAAGAAGGTTTTGTCGTTTCTTTTCTTTCTGTAAATGTTAAAAATTCGATGTAATGTATCAGTTATATGTGACAAAAAATTTATCGGTTATATATTATCAAATATATCTATATGTACAAAGTAAGCGTACTTACTGTTAGATTAATGTACTTACATTCTTGTTACATGCCCTTATTTTCATTAAATTAATATGCTGATTTTTCTTTCACAATATTGTTAATAAGTCTTTATATATTTTTAACTATTAAATCTTGAAAATGTAGACACGATAAATAATGGCCACTAGTAATAAGAATTTGAAACGTTTGTTATCGTGTACACAAGACAGTGTTTATTATTCTCGTGTATATACTTTCGCGTCTCACTCGTGACTAATTTCGTCGCGGAATATATACCATAATAACTTTATCCCAAAATCACGACTTAAATTACAATGTTAAATATTTACAATATTTTCACTTTTTATATTTTCAGCAGAAAAATATTCAATAGTTTTTCATCTTTGTCTTCGTAATTTAATACGACAAATATTAAGAACTGCAAACTTTATGTAATAAAATATATATTTATATTATAAATAAGGAACAGAATATTTATTAATATTATAAAAATTGTATATTGATTGTCATACTTTTTTTTAGATACCCCAGTAATTAAGTTATTAGTAATATTGTCACATTTTTTTACATTTAATAATTTGTTATTATTTAGTTTTTAATATTCCCACAATTTTAATGGAATCAATAACCAATTTAATAGTATCAATAACTACCACTCCATTAGCAATTAATGTTGGTATTGGCTATGACATGGAAACCCTCTGTCACTAATAAAAGTGTTTCAAAATATTTGTAATTTCATCCTTTGTAAATACTCGATATGCAGTGTTGTGTTTAGATGATTTTAAAATTAGCTAGATAGAAATGAAATGAAAATATGTAACTGCATCTTACAATTATAATATATATATATATATATATATATATATATATATATACATAAGATAAAGACAATTTTGTTTTAAATATATCTAGATAAAAGATAAAATTATATGACAATGCATCTAGATAACTTTTAGATAATATTATTTTTAAGACCGTTTATGTACATATACATTATGTAAATACAGTTATAAAAGATGTAAATTATAAAAGATATACTACGTTGTTCAAAATTTTGTTTACGAATTAAATAACGTTAAGCATTATAACGTTAACGTAATTAGCTTAATAAAAAATTAAAAATTTTATTAAATAAACTAAAAATTCTCAGTAAATAAAAAGTTGGTAACTACTTCAGCAGATATTTAACATTTAATATAAAGAGTGATGACAGAAAAACCTGTTTTTTTCGCCCATTTTTGGGACCTCGAATTTCAAACTTTTTTCGTGGCAAATAGTACTATTAGATGAAACATTAATCCCAGTAAAATTTCAAGATGAGCATAGGCACGGTTCCGGAAACACAATGGGGAAAGTGATATACTCATCTTGAAATTTCTCTGGGATTAATGTTTCATCTAATAATACTATTTGCTACGAAAAAAGTTTGAAATTCGAGGTCCCAAAAATGGACGAAATTTGCCATCACTCTTTTTGTATCATTAAATTGATACATTAGAAAACTTTATCCTAATAATATTTTCGGCTCATCAGGTAATTCACAGAATTTGAACGTAGATATGAGCTGGCCGCCAGAACATATTTCCCATACATCATTAAGATCATTCTGCAAAAATTTCAAATTTGAGCATCTATTTTATAAATAAACATTTTTACACTGTAAAAGTGTCACTAAACAGTAAGTTGTAAATTATTTATCTGTTTTACGTACACTCTTTTAAATATTTATAGAAACTCAGAAGTTTTTTTTTAACGCATAACACAAATAAAAATACCGAGATAATATCTGTCGATCCTTTTCATTTTGTACAAGTCAGTGATGCATAACCTAGTATATGTGTGATAATAATAATTCCTCATTTGTAAATATCGATTATAATGTATTATGGTACTTTATAATTAAACTTTAATTTGACTATTAACTACATCATTTGAAGATTTATGCATAATATTAATTGTAATTAGTAATTAAATTAATTGTTATTATTTTATTTGCATTGACACAATAAATATAAATGATATTTATATCAAAATTTCGAAATATATAAAAATACAATATACATATGTATGTATGTATATTAGTATATTTTATTAGTATAATAAAAATACAATTATTCGTCGATCAGTATATAATTGAGATATATAATAAAATGCAGTATGTAAAATAATATTATTTAATATAATGTAATTACATAATTTTGACAAAAAAATGAATATGTTGCAATTTTTGTCATGTTTCAGATATAAAAGATATGAGCTTATTTTGACTTAACAATTAACTTAATGTACAACGAATTTGGACGTGATAGTATTGAGGTAGAAGCATTTTCTTTTTTTCTTAATGGTTATATAAAGATAAGTACAGATGAATCTTTAAAATATAAAATTAAAGATATATAAAAATAGAAATAGAAATATACAATTTATAATTATTATAAAAAGGCAATTGTAATAAACGTTGCAATTAATTTATGTGGTAGTAATATATACGGTCATTTTCACATAGGTATTAATAGCGCAAAAAAAAACTTTGCTCTCATTTTCTTGAATAATAATATTTGTTTATTTTATTCAAGTTATTTTGAATAATGAAGTTAAAATGGAAAAACACGTAAATTTAAAAATTTATTAAAATAAATTATTCTTTTCATGTAGCAGTCGTTTTTGATAGTACTAAAATATATTAAAATATCAGTTTTTGTATATATTATCAAAATAATTGTATGTATAATTTATTTAATTACATCTTCATATTTCCAAAAGTAGAACATGTGATAATAAATTATAGACATACAAACTATATTTCATAATTTGCGTTTATGAGTTATATAGCGTTATTACTTTAATGAAAAATAAAAATTTTGAACTATTATTTAGAACTGTTCAATTTATTTTTCATTCAAGTAGCATTATATAATTAAATTATAAAACATTTTATATATCAATTATATTATAAATTAAAAAAGTATTTTACAAATTCTATTGCAGCACATAAACTTGAAGCATCATTTTTATCAATTATATTTTTGAAGTAGAACGAGATAGAATACAAAACTAATAATTTTTGATATATTTTACAAGAAAAATATTCAATTATTTCTGAGGTCTTTAATTTCATAGTTCAATATAATGTCATTAAAAGATCGTTATTTTTAAACAACATAATATATATATTAAAAGTGTATATCGTTGGTCTTATTTCCCTTAAAATACTACAGTTATTAAATTAAAAATTTTGTCCTAGTTTTTACGTTTAGTGAGTCATTATTTAATCATTTATATATATAACGTCGCTATGTTTTTAGAATAGAATTACTGATCAATTCTCACTCCATCATAATCAAAGGTGGTAGATATGCAATTGGGATATTGTTCTAAGAATTGTGCCTTAATATATTCGATTTTTTCATCTGTAAGCATTGGAGGTAGCAGAATGTATACATATCCGCCTTGAAAACCTGTAAGCTTTCCGTTCAATTTAAAATTTTTTGCAAACGAACAAACTTCATCAACTTTCGGATCCGACAAATTATTATATTTCAATAATAGTTGATTTCTCCTAATCTCGTTCTGCAAAATATGAAAAATGTTAGTTATAAAAAGATACAGATTCTAACAGATAATTATATACTAGAAAATTTTGTAAATGCAGCAAAGATAGAAACTATCGTATATTTGTATAAAATTAAGAGATTATGTTAGGCATTTGTCGGGCCATAATCATATAATATTGCTACTTATATGGAAGATTATATGTATAATTACAGTTTATATGTATAATTTTATATGTAATATGTTCTTATATATTTTCAAGATTAAAAATATTCTACTGAACATGGAATTATACATATACTTATGAAATAAAGTTCTAATAAAGTAAAAATAGCAAATTTTAAATTACATATGATTTTTGCATAAAAATTGTAATTTTACATATATTTTTACATTAATGCTTTTTCACTTCAAAACAAATAAAAAAATTACAGTAATATGCAACTAACTTTATCAGTTCTAAACAAGTAATTTCCATGTAAAAGTACATGAATTTTTTTCAGTATATGTATAATAAAATATTATAATTGTAAAATAAAAACGATAAAATACCTCTAACTGACGGTAAAGATCCTGACAAGATGGGCTATCTACGGAATTATTACGAATAACGTTAAGCTTATCCCATATATTTTTTGCGATTGCGTCTAATATATATAATAAAGAAAAGAAATCGATCAGATTTTTACATCGCAGATTAACCATTTGTTGCGCTCGTTGTTCTTTATTTTGGGAAATATTTGTATTAATCAATAAAATCCTTAGTCCTGATACGAAATCGATGGTCTCCGTAAAATGACTTTGATAATTCGTACGTCGACATTTTTTTATTCCGCCGCGTAGGCAAATTTTAGCATCGATCGATGCGATTATATTGTCTTGCATAACATTTTCGCAGGATTTAGCGTATTGTTCAATTTCATCTAATTCCCAGTTATTAAATGCAATATGATAACTTTTCTGTCGACGCTCCCAATGAAGAAAACACGCTGCCAAACATCCAGCGAACGATGTCGAACTTCCAAGACCAGAGCCGAAAGGAATTTCAGTGGACACACGCACGTGAAAAGGTCTTCTCTCGAGATTGTTGGTCATAAAACAAAGCAAGTAAAAAAATATTTGCAAGCTAAATCTCTGTTCGCATGTATTCCACATGCGAGCCTGGTCGATAAAGAATTTCACGTATTTAAGAAACTCGACTGGATTTGTCTTAATAGTTGAAACAGTTGGATGAAAAAAATAGGATTCAACTATTGCCAAAGGTATAGCGCACTGTAGGTCGACACGAGAGAATTCTATCCTAATAATTCTTTCTGTCTCAGGTAGTTCACAAAACTCAAGTTTGGTACGAAGATCTAAACCGGCCACAACAAAATGTCGTTCATACATCGCCAAATGCTCTCCGGATAAGACGATTCTGCCCGGTGCAGAAATTTTAAAATTAATCAATTCTCTTTCCATCTTTATAAAAATGTCTCTTCTTCTCAAAAGTGATGAAGGTTGAATAGTACAGAGTTGATAATTAAATTTGCGTAGCTCTTTAGAAACACATTTATTAAAATTCATATATGATAAGCATATTTTCGCAATGTGAGCAAAGATTATATTTGTCGCTTCTTCTCGTTCTGTAAATATAAGAAATATTTAATGTGTCAGTTATATATTACAAAAATATCTCGTCAGTTACACGTAATCAAATGATAATTATGCAAAGTAAATACTTAAGCGTGATAGGACCAACGTGGTAGATAGGGCGCAAAAATGATTAATAATGGAATTACACATAAGAAGTGCTATAAAATAATGTTGTAAATAAAATATATAATTGCTTATAAAATAAAATTCTAATAAAAGTAAAACTACTAATTTTAAAATTACAAGTGATTTTTGCAATATTGTTGCTCATATAAAAGATTATAGATTATATGTAATTTTATATGAAATTTATCCTTATATATTTTCAAGATTAAAAATATTCCACTGAATGGAATTACACATAAGAAGTGCTATAAAATAATGTTGTAAATAAAATATATAATTACTTATAAAATAAAATTCTAATAAAAGTAAAAATACTATTATAATTTTAAAATTACAAGTAATTTTTGCATAACAATAGTAATTTTACATATATTTTTACGTTAATATGTATTTTCACTTTAAAAAATATGAAGAATTTATATAATTAAGTAATTTTTCCCGTCTTGAACAAGTGTTTTCCATGTAAAAGTACATGAATTTTTTTCAGTGCACATATAGCATAATTTATTAATATTTTGCGCTCTGTCTGTCGCGCTGATTATTACGCCTATTATTACATTTTTATATATTTTTAACTTGATTGTCCTATCTTTTTTATTCGTAATTACCTAAATTTTTATACTTACATATCCTTTTTAATTCTTGTTAAATGCGCTTATTTCTCGTAGATTAAAGTCTCTGCTTTTTTTATTACACTGCTCATATATCTTTTTAACTATTTATCTCTCTTTATTTTTATCTTTATTAATATTATTATTAATCTTTATAATGTAGACAGGAAGAAGAAGAAGGCTACTAATAATATTAATTTGAAATGTTCGTTATCACACACGAGACAGTGTTTTATATGTTCTGTACATGTTCGCCTCTAAATTATGATTGATTTCGTTTTGAATAATAAAATTAACTTGGAAGTCGTGATTTTAAATACAATTACAATGTCAAGACTTTTTCAATGCTTTAATCAGAAGTCATTGGAATGTCTATACGTTCATATTTAATTTAAGAATTTTATAGTATTTTTGTTGGAACGAGAAGGGTTCGAATATACACTAATAAACACAATGTGAGATTATACGACACGAAATATATATTTGATACAAAAATAAACATTAGAAGACAGGCGATACATTTTGCACGTGGAAGAATCTACTAATATTATATAAGAAAACGGAAAGCGAAGAGAGCCTTCTCAGCGACTCAGTTGCCATCTATAGAACAATCAGTGAAACGAAAAGGTCAAAGCGCGAAATGTCGAATGCTTCAATAATTTTCAATATTATAAATTCAATATTGTGAATAAAAGTATAATATTTTTAATATTATATAAATCAACTAGCTTTAACTATTCAGCCCGCGTTTTGCGTGGGCCTCAAAACCTTTTTCTCTTAAACATTTTTTAATTAATTTTAAAAAATTTTAAATATTAATTTTAATTCTTTAATATAAAGTATCATTTTTAAAAAATACAATATTTTTTCGGAAATGGTTACAATAGTGGTTTTTTGATACTAATTTAGAAAAAATCAGTCAGTTTAAAAATTTTGATACAAATTTCGTGAAAAAGTCAATTAATAAATTTGTAAATGCGTGAGTGGATACGTGGGTAGATTGGTGGATTTGTAAATCTTTAAAATAACATTTTTTTAAAAATACATACACACATTTTTTTCGGAAATGGTAACGATAATGGTATTGATACTAATTTCGAAAAATCGGTCAATAAGTGTGTGAGTGCGGGTGGTGAGTGGGTGAGTGGGGGTGTAAAACTTAAAAAATTCACCACCATCGCCATTTCCGAAAAATTTGTAAAATTTTGATACAAATTTCGTGAAAAAATTAATCAATAAATTTGTAAATGCGTGGCTGGATACGTGAGTGGGTGAGTAGGGTTTAAACATTTTTAAAATCATATAAAAATTATCATATAAACATATCATATCTTATAAAAATTGTGCAGTTACGTGAGAACATTAAAGTTCGGCCAAGTAAATTTTTAAAAAACTTTTAGGTGAGAAAATATGTGATGAATAATTGTGATTTGTTATTATATTTTTTTATATATGAAAAATCTCTTGTATATTTGAATAAAATATATTGAATTAAAGCAATTAATTATTGTAAATTTTTCAATTATGTTATAGCGCTATTATTACAGTGTTTGTGTATAATAATAAGAAAATTTTTGATCGTTTCATCGTTTCAAAATCAATAGAATGATATATCTCACATGTATATTATTTTATACTATTTTTTATTTGCGTTTTATTAAAAACAAATTAAAGAACATTTCATTTTTAAATAATTAAGAAAAAGATTTATGAAAGAATTAATTAAACATATTATACATAATTAAAGGTTTAAGAATTAATCTTATTTTTCTGTTGTAATTTACATATAGGAATAACAGATTGCTGCGAGGAAAGGATCAGAAGAGAGATGGGACTCACGTTTATATTGCCATCCAGTTTCATGTTTTCTGGACTCGTTTTAGGGATGGAACCTTATTCGACCATGTATGGTAATGTGGACGTAAATGCAATTTTTAATAGCGATCGTCTTCTAAATCAATATATATGGATTGCGCTCTTGATAGAGGTCCCTGCACCGCCGATGCACGCAGTCTTAAACGTAAGTACATTTTATTTCAAGATTTTATGGATATTTTATTTTATAATTCTGTAAGAGAGCTGTATTTTTATTAAATGAAAAAAATAGAAAATATAGCATGTTTAAGTAAGAAAGAAGAAAAGAAGATAAGAAAGAAGAAAAATGGCAGCTCATTTATTAAAATATTAAAATATTATTTTATTTAAATTATATATATATATATATATATATATATATATACATACACAATGTATATAAATTTCGATGTCCTCACATAGGTGTGCTTCCAGAAGCGGTATTCACAATTTGCGAAAGATGCAATTTAAAGCAAAAACAAGAAAAATAGGCAATTATTTGAAAAATTATAGACCAGATCTCTTGGACTTTCTTGGAAAATTTGATTCTGAGGGAGAATATATTGCAAATTTCGAAAAATTTCTAGCACAAGTAGAGGAAAAATGTTTGCTTTATTAAGTTTTTTAATATATGTATGTTACATATATATATATATTTTTTATCAATAAATCGAAATTATATATGTATGTACAGGAAACGTATACATGTGATAAATATACATATATGTGATATTGTAAACTTTTGTTTATAAGTATTTTCGTCTATTTCCGAAATAAGTTTCTTAGAACATTTTACTAATAAGCTTATAAAAAATATACACATATTGCAATTTAATAAAGTACAGATGCGATTATCATCTTAATCACGATATATTTATAATTATAATTATGCATTCTTGTTTCGAAAGTCATTAAGTGCCATTTGTACTACACGATTCCAATTCTCAGAATCATGCACTGTAAACCATGAAACAACTGTATCGAAGAAATGTACTTGTCTGTCCGTGCATTTTTTACATCTCGTAATATATGCTTCTGCAAAGTTTTCTAAAAAGAAAAATTAAAGTAATAAATAAAACAAATAAATATACTGTTACAAATTAAAAAATTACAAATTTAAAAGAATTATTAATAATATAATATTATTATTATGTATTTAATTATTTATTTCCTAAAAATATTTACTTGGCATGCGAGATATATGCATATATACGTTAGATAATGAATCAATTTTTATAAACAAATACTTTGGAAACATAGTTTCTTTAATAAAATTAATATATTATATATATAGTTAACATTATTATATATATATATATATATATATATATAATATATATTATAATATATTAACTAATGATATATAATATATATATAATAGCATAATGAAATTACCAGGGTTGGGAAAGTTACTTTGTAAAAATAACTAATTACAGTTACAGTTATTTTATTGAAAAAGTAACTAGTTACAGTTACAAAGTTACCGATTTTAAAAAATAACTCGTTACAGTTACAGTTACTTAAAAAGTAACGAATCGTTTTTCAGTTACTTTTTAAAAATAATTATACATTATTTTAAATATAAGGAGCTTACATTTTATGCACAACCACAGTCAAGTATTTAAAAAAATTCTTGAATGTAATATTGATCGATTTGCTTGCGACTTTGCGATTACCATCAATGTATAAATGACCTTTATATACAACAGTAAAAATAGTTATAGTAACTTACTAAATGGTAATCGCAAAGTCGCAAGCAAATCGATCAATTGTTACATTTAAGAATTTTTTTAAATACTTGACTGTGATTGGTCGATCTTAATTATGTATTATATTATTTTATGTACACAAAATGAAAATTTTAGGTACAAGATTAAATCATATGAAGATTCATATGCTACTGTTATCAAAATTTAATTTAACAATATAATAGCTACCATATTTAAACGATACTTTTAGCGGATGTTTCCAAAAAAGTAACTAATAAAGTAACTGTTAAAATAATTACTAATTACTAAAAAAAATGTAACTAAGTTACAGTTACATTTTAATAATACATATATTACATATATAAGTTTTAATATTACATATATTACATTGTAGTTATATTGTCATTATATCCCAAGATAGCACTGACTTATCAATATATCAATGTGCTATTTGGTATATAATTACAATATAACTACAATGTAATATATGTTATATTAAAATGTTACATCTATAGTGGGAAATTACAACTAACATGGATATTACATGTAACGTACACGTTATATTACCTGTTATATTCCGTTTTATTATAGCAATGTAACAATTATATATCGGTGTTTGCTGGGTTAGCTTCTTAATCAATATATAATTTAAATAGTTATTAAATTTAATAACTATATAAATTATATATTGATTAAAAAATAAATATGATATTTCCTTCCTCATTCACTAATTTATCATATTTATCTAATTTATTTATTTTTTAACCAATATATAATATAATTTAAATAGGTATTAAATTTAATAACTATCTAAATTATATATTGATTAAAAAATAAATATGATATTTCCTTTCTCATTCACTAATTTATCATATTTATCTAATTCATTTATTTTTTAATCAATATATAATTTAAATAGTTATTAAATTTAATAACTATCTAAATTATAATTGATTAAAAAATAAATACAATAAAAATTTTTTATATGCTTATTTTATATTTTTATTTATATATTATATTTTATATTATTAAAATAGTATCTTTTGCACTTTTATTGTTATATGTTTTTTACATATATTCTCAACTTGAAATGAGAATAACCTTCGAATATAATGAGTTTTTTAATCGGTAGAGTACGATTATAAGAATAAAAAGCAGCTAGGGACATATAATTTAGCGAAAGGTAAAAACATATATATATGTATATAATGATTCAGGAACTTTTGTTAAGTTTAGAACTAGTATCGTATAGAACTATCGTCTTAACAAGATTTCATATTTTCCTATGTTATATTTTGATTTTCGATTATGACTGATTTTTCAACAATAATAACGTTTGAAACATGTGAAGTTAAAACTCTATCGCAATTTCAAAACTTTTTGATACTTTAATAAAACTTTAATTTAACTATTAACTTCATCATTTAAAAACTTATGTATAATAATAATTATATACAGAGTGTTTACATGCAAAAATAGAAAATGATATAAATAAATGAAAATATTAATTGCAATTAACAATCAGACAAATTGTTATTATTTTATTTGAATTGATACATAATATAGGTACATAATAGTTACATGTCGAAATTTCGCAATATATAAAAATACAATATATATTAAAAATTAAAATATCGTTTCACGTCAATTAGTACATAATTGAAATATACCAAAATAAAATATTTATGTTAAATTATATTATTTATCATAAAGTAATAAATAGATAAATCTTTAGTTTATAAAAGTAAAGATGTAGAAAAAGTATATAATTACATACATATTTTGTTATTTTAGACAATTTCTAACTATTATGAAAATCCAAATGTCATATTTGTCGTAATTAATTTACTTCGCAATAATATATGTAATTATTTTCACATAGGCATTATTAGCGCAAAGGAAAACTTTACTGTTATCTATTCAAATAATAAATAATATAATACGTATGTTAAATAGACAAATATTTATTATCTCTTTAGTACAGCTTCTATTTATTATTTTTTGTTTATTCAAATTGTTAATAAAATAAAAAATATGATTATAATGAAAATACATGTAAATTCAAGAATTTATGAAAGGAAATTATTTTTTTTATATAACACATAGCACTTGTTTTCGATACTAAAATATATCAAAAATATTATTTTTTAATATCGAAATAATTGCTTGTTTAACTTATTTAATTATGTTCTCATATTTTCAAAAGTAAAAGATATAATAATAAATCACAGATATATACATGTTTCATAATTTATATTTATAAATTATAGGACGTTATGAAATTAATAAAAAATTGAACATTTTTAAATATTGTTTCTGGATGCTAAATAGCAAAATTTTTACATAAGATCATTGTACCTATTCCATTTTTTTACAAAAACATTTATCAATAAAACATACGCCGGATAGTATTTAACATAGAAACTAACCAACTTCGTAACTGAGATATATATCCATCCAGATATGTCCATCTGATAAATAACATTAATTATATATTTTATTTTATAATTTCTTCCTTAAAAATTACAAAAAAATATTCAAAACTGATTCGACTAATATTCAACTGATTTATCATTCAAATCGCATATGTTGTAAATTATGAAACATTATGTATATAAATTAAATTATGAATCGAAAAATCCTCTGCATATTTTATAGTAACACATGATCTTGATGCAATTTTATCACATACATTATTTCAAATTATAAGAAACCAATATTTTTCAATATATTTAACAAGAAAAATTCAATGATTCTCACCTTTGATTTCATAATTCAATACATTATTAAAAATTCGCGATCTTCAAATAACAGAATGTATGTATATATATAGAAAAAAAATGTATGTTGTTCTTAGTATTCTTAAAATACTGCAATTAAGTTAATAATTTTGCCTTATTTTTCTAGATTTATCTTTTTTTTACATTTCATTCATCATTATTAAAAAATGTAAAGATATATTAATCGCTATTATTTCATCAGAATTAATTATCAATTTTAACTCCTTCACAATCGATGGTGGCAACTACAGTTTTGAAAATTTTACTATGAAATGCTTCTCTTAAAAAATCCATTTCCATGTCTGTAATATTTGGTTGTAGCACAATGTATGCAAATCCGCCTCCAAAACCTGTAATCTTCGCTCCATATCCAAATCCACTTGCAATCTTCGAAACTTTATTATCCATATTCGGATACGACAAATGATACTCCTTCAATAATTGTTGATTCCTCCTAATGTCATCCTGCAAAACACAAAAAATGTAATGATAAAACTGTTTAGTTTCTAGCAGATAAATATGTAATTCAGAGAACCTCATCAACGTAGCAAGGCTAAAGAATATAATATATAATAAAATAATACCACTTTTATAAATAAAAACGAAAAACATACCTGTAAATCCATGTAAGCATTCTCATATGCTGATACATGGGTAATGGGATGTACGTTGTCACGATTACAATTAATGTAATCAAGCCTATCATATATTGTTGTTGCAAATTCGTCTAATTTATTAATGATTGAATCAAAATCGGGATGTGAAGATTTCATCTTTGCTATTAGTTGCGCTCGTGTTTTTTTATTTTGGTAACATCTTGTTGCGATTATTAGAATCTTTATAACAGTTTGTAAATTTATGATACTTGTAAAAAGAGATTTATAATGCGTACATTGGTATGTTCTTATATTGCCGTATATGCAAATTTCAGCATCGATCCAGGGGAACACATCTTCTTGCATAACATCCTCACAGGATTCAGTGTAACGTTTAATCGTCCTTAACTGCTCATCGTCAAATCCAATATGATGACCACCTTGTAGACATCTCCAATGAAGAAAACACGCTGCCAGACATACAGCAAACGATGTTGAACTGCCAAGACCAGGACCTTCGGGTAAATCCGTGGAAATGCGCACGCCAAAAGGTTTTCTTTCGAGATCATAAGTCATAGCATAAAACAAGTAAAAGAACATTTGTAAGCTAAATCTTTGCTCGTGTGTCTTCCACATACCGTGTGTGGTGATAAAGTATGTCACGTATCGGAGAAATTCGATTGGATTTGTATGAATTTCTGATAGATTTGTATGAAAAAAATAGCTTTCAACATTTTCTAAAAATATATCCTTTCGTAGATCAACACGAAGGAAATCTATCGAAATAATTCTTTGTGACTCAGGTAGTTCCCAGAATTCGAGTTTGGTACGAAGATTTAGACCGGCCGCAACTAAATGTTTTCCATACGTCGCCGAGTGCTCTCCGGATAAGACAATTCTACCCGGTGCAGAAATTTTAAAATTAATCAATTCTTCTTCCATCTTTATATATATGTCTCTTCTTTTCAAAACTGATGAAATGTTGAATAGTACAGAGTTGATAATTAAATTTGCGTAACTCTTTAGAAACACATTTATTAAAATCCATATATGAAAAATATGTTCTCATAACCTGAGGAAGGTTTTATCGTTTCTTTTGCTCTGTAAATATTAGAAATGTGTAATGGATCAGTTATATGTTGACAAAAATATCTCGTCGGTTATATATCAGTAACAGATCGCTATCCTTAATACCACAATTATTTTACATTTATCTTTTCTACATTTATCATTATTTAATCATTTATATATTAATCGCTATTATTTCAATAGAGTTAATTATCAATTTTTACTCCCTCATTATCGATGATGGCAATTGTGGTTTTGAGATGATTACTTGAGAATCGTGCTCTTAAATGTTTTACGTTTGTAAGTTCTTGTGATAGAATAATGTATGCAAATCCGCCTCCAAATCCTGTAAGCTTTCCTCCGTACCAAAATTTACTTGCAATATTTGAAACATTATCAATATTTCAAACCGACAAACACTGTACTTTCAATAATTGTTGCTTCTTGCTAATGTTATCCTGCAAAACACGAAAAATGTTAATTTTAAAACTAATCAGTTTTAGCATATAATTATGTATTAGAGAATCTTGTCAAAGTAGCAAGGCTAAAGAATAATAGTATCTCAAAAAATAACTTAAAACAAAAATTAAAAAATGTGTCAAGTGCATGCGCCAGTTCTGAAAAATTGTTATATGTTTTTAAAATAGTGTTATTTTATTCTATTGCAAACTCATGTAGCCTCGTACTACAAAAAAATTATATTAAAAGAACTGCTCCATGTGAAAGTAAAAACTTGTATTACTAAAAAATTAAGTTGCAAACTCCTATGTAAAATCATATAATTATAGATCTCCCTTCATACTGGAAACTGCAAATCTATGTAGAATCATAATGATAAAAAAGGATAATAAACACAAAAGAAAAACAAAATTAAAAATTAATAAAAAAATTAATTTATGCGAAAATAAAAAATTAATATAAATAAAAAATTAAAAAAATTTAATTTAAAAAATTTAGTACTGTTAAACAGTATACTGAAGTTCATTTTGAAATTTAGTAGTTGTTTTTTTAATTAAAAATTAATTTTTTTATTTGTATTAATTTTTAATTTTTTAAATTAATTTTTAATTTTGTTTTTTCTTTATTATCCTCTTTTATTATGATTCTACATAGATTTGTAACTTCCAGCATAAAGGGAGATCTATAATTATATGATTTTACATGGGGATTTGCAACTTTAATTTTTTTAATAGTACACGTTTCTACTTTTACATGGCGCAATACTTTTGATATTATTTTTTGTAATACGAGTCTACATGGATTTGCAATAGATTAAAATAACATTATTTTAAAAATATAATAATTTTTCAAAACTGGCGTTTGTACTTGCGTCTTTTACTTTTTTAAAAAAGTTACTTTTTGAGATATCATTCTTTTTTGCACCAAGTAAGTAAATAACATAAGAAAAAGTCATGAAAAATATATATTTTTTGACAGCTCATAGGATTCATAATATTATTGCAAGGAGATATTAATTTTTTATGATTTTCTTTCTTTATGTTATTAAATTATTAGCTTCCATTTACTTCCTTATTTTATATTAACAATTATATACTTATGAAGAAATAGTAAGATGGCAGCATAACAAGAAAATAATTAATATAAAAGAAATATATAGAGATTATATCACATATATGTAAGTAGTACTACATGTCACAGATATACTAAATATACAGTATAGTATAGCAAAATGTATAGATCCTGTTATTTCTTTTTGAATATATATTTATGTATTATAAAATTTGCAATTATTTTAAAATAAAATAATATAAAGAAAGAAATAAAAGCTAATAATAAATAATATATAGAGGAAAGTCATATAAAACGTACATTTGATAGTTCATAGTACTTATAATTGTGCTATGAGCTATTAAAATATATAAAAATCTAATAATATAAAAATATATAAAGGGAATAAATAACATAATAACAAATAACTGTTATAAATTATCATATTTATCTTTTTCATTATCAACAATTATTTATAATAGTGGTAGAATGATGGTAGGTAGAACAGTGGAACAAGAAAAGTATTCTTATTAGAAGACAAATATAGAATATTACATATATGTAGTATCATATATTACATATATGTAGTATAGCATTGCAAAATGATAGATCCTACCATTTTTTTCATAAATACACATTTATATAATGATGTTTGCAACTATTTCCTTGTTACGCTATCATTTTACTATTTCTTTCACAATAATAATTACTTTCTTACTACGTTATCATCTTATTATTCCTTCCATAAATATATAATTATTTATATAAAATAAGGAAACTAATAGAAATAAATAATGTAAAGAAAAAACATAAAAATGCATTGTTGATAGCTTATAGCATTTATAATGGTGCATCAAGTGCTATGAGCTGTCAAAATATATAAAAATGCATATAAATTTTTTATAAATTGCTTTCTTACGTTATTTATTATTTTATTCACTTTATTATACCAACAATTATATATTTATAAAAAAATAATAGTACAGCTGAGTGACAAAAAAGTAGTTACAATATATAGTTACAAATATTATTATATAAATATTAATATAGACTTATGAAAGAAAATAATAAGACACATTTTGCAATACCATAGCATATATATGTGGTATATTTTTTATTGTATATTACTTATTGTATTTCTTTCATGACCACTTTGTTGTTATGCTACTATTCAATTATTTCTAAGTATATAATTATCGATATAAAATGAGAAAGTGAATAAAATCTAATAATGTAGAATCAATTATTAAAAAATTGTGAAATACCTGATTCACATACTAAATATTCTTCAAAAATAAAAATTCAACTCAAAGTTTAATCACCTTAACCTATTTTCACTGATTTAACACACTGATCTAATGCCAGTTGTTTCAATTTTTTGATAAATTTTACTCGATAAATAGCATATGTTCATATTTTTAAACTTATCTGAAAAGAGACGAAGATGTGCTATCTGTCGAATAAAATTTATTAAGACGAAGTTGGAACAACCGGTTCTTAACATATATATTCCGTCGTTAACTATACGCGACCGCCACATATATAGTACTCTTTGCTACCCCTATATTGCTTAGGCTGTGTTCCGATATTCGCTGCCAGCTGTCACTACCGAAATGCTATAGTTTACGTTACGTTACATACACTACAGATTTGCAGTACGGCAGTAATCTCAGAACATGGGGTTAGTCTGTTTTGGCATTTTTACGCATGCGTCATATATACAGGGTGTCCCATAATTCGCGAACCACCGCGAATGGGCAGATAGAGCGTGTTAAACTGAATAGAAAAGTCCTGTATCATTTTGTGCGATATTCGCAATAATTATTGAGTTATTAACTAAAATATCTAAACGAATGAGCGGGTAGAAAGCGATAGGCCGGACTCGGTGTGCATCCCAGATAGCACCATGTTTAAAATGCACGCATAAGTCATCATTAAGAAATCTTTAAGACATCTTTAAGAAATCTTATGATATGATATCCCAAAGACATCTTGAAAACATCTTAAAGATGTCTTATGGATGCATTTTGGACATGGTGCTACCTGGGATGTACCGCTTTAGTATCAAAAGTATCATCTTACTTTTCGGCGCCACTACATTGGTCGCCGCTCGCTGCATGACGCCACCTCTCGATCAAATAATGCTTTCTACCTGCTTATTCGTTTAGATATTTTAATAAATAACTCAACAATTATTGCGAATATCGCAAAATGATACAGGACTTTTCTATTCAGTTTAACACGCTCTATCTGCCCATTCGCGGTGGTTCGCGAATTATGGGACACCCTGTATATATAATATGGCATACACAGGGTGTCCCAGCACTGATGTTCGACCTGTTGATAGCGGATTCCTGGGAAGATTTTAGTCCAGTAAAATTATTTGACTTCAAAAAATTATAATCAAGCTGAATTTTTGTGGAGGCCTTTATTTCGATGTTCTAATAAAATCCTGAAAAGTACCCATATATAATTTCAGCCAGGGCATTTTTTTGTGGGATGGGGAGGTAAATTTTAGTTTTTTGTCATTATCTCGAAAACTATCAAGATCTTGACTCATTGGATAACAGTTGTTAAATAAGAATCTGTTTTACTAACAATATATTTTGCGCATGAAATCTACTGTCAAAATAATGGACCTATATCAGTGAGACTAAGAATAGTACTAATTTTGTATTTGTAAAGATAATTGGAATGAAAACACTTTATTATATGTATGATTTTCTGTATCCGATTTTTACAGATATTTTTATGTTTTTTTTTAACTGAGATGTATAATTTAATTTTTGTAGCCTGAAGAGAACCCAATTCGGGGTCGAAACGTTGCGTCTTTTTTAATAAAAGATTGTTCACCTTAGCCAGAGTATCGGTCAATCAATTCCTTTTTATCTTTATTTCAAAATTTCAACTGGCAATCGGATCACTTTTTTGTAATAAATAATATTTTTATATAATCTAGTACTATCGAAAATAAATAATATACGAGAAGTTTAATTTATTTCGATATGAATACACTAATTTATTTTCATAAATTTTTGAAACAAATTTATATATAAAATTAAAAAAAAAATAAAATTTTTTAAGTTACTTTAGGAAACTTTTTTCAAAGATTAAATAAGAAGAAGAATATTCACAAATTTCTTCATTATTTTCGTTATGTAAAAAGTTTGTGAAAAGTTCATGAATTAAAAAAATCAGCCACTATATCATACTATAGAGCAAAGATTCAGCTTTAAGAATCCACTTTTAAAATTGTTGTACGATGACTTTTAACGCATTATGATCGAAAGTAAAAATGACAATTTTAAATCATGTTTTATGTTCTAGTTTTTAAATATATGTATAACATATATATATTTATGTATGCATTTTGGATGCTCTTATGTATCGTTTAAGTATAATATACATATGCATACCCAGTAAGCAAGAAATATTTAATCAACATTTTATAATGTTGATTTTATATAAATTTTCTAAACGTTATGATATAATGTTTTATAAATATATGTTTAAAATATTATTAATAAATGTCCTAAAAAATATTTTAAGTAATGTTTTATAAATGTTTTAAAAATATTATTTAATAACACACATATATTACTCAAAATATTAATAAAATATTTTAAAAACGTTAATTTCAATATTACCGAAACCTCTAAATCGATGTCAAAGTTTGTTCATAATAATATTGCATACAATGTTAAAAACTATATACTTGCCAACAAAAATAACGTAGCAATGATTTTTTGCTTATCGGGTATATATGTATTGTACATGGTATTTTATTTAAACATAAGAGATTATGTAATACTTTCTTGCAATTTATTACGCAATTAATATATAAATATATATATATATATATATATATATATATATATATAAATATATCGTACATGAATCATAAACTCAAGGACATATGTGAAAACAGATTTATTTTACATTTATTTCCTAATTATTTTATAAAAATTTATATATATAGTTTATAAAACTGAAGATTTTTAAAGTAAAGAAGCATAAATATCTACTTCCTCTAGACAAACTCAATTGTGCGAAATTAATATTAATAATTGTAATAAGTGTTTTACGTTACGTGTTTACATTGTAATAATTGTCATTTTTATATAAACATTAATAAACGGAAAAGAATAAATATTTGCTGTCATTTTTTCAAATAATAATACAATATATATATTTTATAAATTAAACTTCGGCTCGTATACAATTAAAATATGTGATATAATAAAAGGCCAACTTAACGAGCTTATATGCTATTAATTGAAAAATTTATTTATTAATTTACGTCATACTATACAAAAGTTAAGATAAACGTTTCGACTGTACGACAGTCTTTTTCAATATCCTAATAATATGTTAAAAATTAATTTAGTCATATCAACCTTATTATAAATACAACAATTATGAGATTATATGACACAAACATGAATTTTGTACTGCGTTCGTCATATAATCTCATAATTGTTGTATTTATAATAAGGTCGATATGACTAAATTAATTTTTTAACATATTATTAGGATATTGAAAAAGACTGTCGTACAGTCGAAACGTTTATCTTAACTTTTGTATAGTATGACGTAAATTAATAAATAAATTTTTCAATTAATAGCATATAAGCTCGTTAAGTTGGCCTTTTATTATATCACATATTTTAATAATACAATAATTTGTACATGTTAATTCAATAAATTCTTAATTATTTCTGTAAAATAATTTTCGTTCCTTTTTACTAAATTTATTTGAAATAGCGATGTTAAAAGTAAAAAAAAATTGTAAACTTTTTATAGTTTATAGGATCATAAATTATTCTTGTCATATAGCACTTGATTATGATAGTAATAAGATCTATTAATAATATTAATTCTGAAATATGCTAAATATATTACTTTTCATCATCAAATTAACTGTTTGTTACTTATTTGTTCTACATATTTTCAAAATTACAACATGGAATAATAGATCACAGATATACAACATATTTAATAATTTACTTACATTTATGAATTATAGGGCGTTATTAATTGAATAAAAAATTAAATATTTTGAAATATTGTTTCTGGATGTTGAACAATAGAAAAATTCTTACATAAAATCATTTTACCTGCTTTATTTTTTACAAAAACATGCATTAATAAAACATATGTCGGATAGTATCTAACATGGAAACTAACAACCTCGCAACTAACAGATATATGTATATCCATCCAGACATATCCATCTGATAAATAACATTGATTATATATTTTATTTCATAATTCATTTTTTTTTAATTAATATTTCAAACTGTTTGATTGATTTTCCATACAAATCGCATTATATATTGTAAATTATGAAGTGAAAAAGATCTCTGCATATGTTATAGCAACGCTTAATGTTGATGCAGCTTTATCACTTACATTATTGAAATAGAATAGGATAAAATATGAAAAAGTTAATATTTTTCAATATACTTTATAATAAAAATTCAATAATTTCTCACATTGGATTTTATAATTCTATAACTCATTAAAAATTGGCAACATTTAAACAGCAGAATATGTATATAGAAGAGTAATATATATTATTCGTTTTTTTCTTAAAATACCACAATTAATAAGTTCATAATTTTGCTATACTTTATATATTTATCTTCTTTCAAATTTATCATTATTTATTTTTTTATATATTTATTATTCGCTGTAATTCTGATCTAACTAACTGATCAAGCTAACATTTTACGATATATTTTACCACAAAAATTCAATGATTTCTTACATTTGATTTTATAATTCGATACATTATTAAAAATTTGCGATTTTTAACAGCAGAATGTATGTATATATACAATATATATATGTAGAAGAAAAGTATATATTGTTCGTTTTAGTTTTCTTGAAATATCACAATTAATAAATTAATAATTTTGCCTTCTTTTTTTACATCTATCTTTTTTTACATTTATTATTATTTAATTTTTTATATATCTATTATTCGCTATAATTCTAATCGCATCATGAATTATCAATTTTTACTCCTTCACAATCGATCGTGGCAACTCTTGTCATTATACGTGCATCTTGGTATACTTGTTTTATACAATCGATCGTTGCGTCTGTAATATCTGGTTGTAGCACAATGTATGCAAATTTTCCTCCAAAACTTGTCTGCTTCGCTCCATATCCAAATATTTTTGCAATATTGCCAACTACATTAAACGCCGGAGGCGACAAACGATACTTATTCAATAATTGTTGATTCCTCGCAATGTCTTTCTGCAAAATACAAAAATATTAATTATAAAACTGTTCAGTTTCTAGCAAATAATTATATAGTTTAGAGAATCTCATCAAAGTAGCAAGGCCATAAGGAATATAATATATAATAATAAAATATGACTGTTAAATAAAAACGAAAAACATACCTGTAAGTCATAGTAATCACGACTCGGAAAAATATTGGCATTACTGTTGTTATTAATATTATCAAGTCTATCATATATTGATTTTGCTATTTCGTCAAACAGATTTATGATTGAATCAAATTCTGAATTACAAACCTTCATATGTGCCATTTTATCCGCTCTTATTTTCTTACTTTGTTCCTTTGTAGTTGGGACTATTAGAATTTTTATAACTTTTTGTAAATTTATGATACTTGTAAGAAGAGATTTATAATGTGTATGTTGATGTGATCTTATTTTGCCGTGTATACAAATTTCAGCATCGACCCATGGGAACACATCTTCTTGCATAACATCTTTACAGGATTCAGAGTACCGTTTAATCGTCATTAACTCCTCGTTATTAAAGCTAATATGATGACCACCCTGTAGACATCTCCAATGAAGAAAACACGCTGCTAGACATACAGCGAACGATGTCGAACTGCCAAGACCAGAGCCTGGAGGTAATTTCGTGGAAACGTGCACGTAAAAAGGTTTCCTTTCGAGATCATAAGTCATAGAATAAAACAAGTAAAAAAACATTTGTAAGCTAAATTTTTGCTCATGTGTGCTCCACAAACCGTGTGTGGTGATAAAGTATGTTACGTATCGCAGAAATCTGATTGGATTTGTATAAATTTCTGAAAGATTTGTCTGGAAAAAATATCTTTCAACATCTTCTAAAAATATATCCTTTTGTAGAGCAACACGATTGAAATCAATCTTAATTATTTTTCCTTCTGCCTCTGATAGTTCGCGGAACTCAAGCTTGGTACGAATATCTAAAGCGGCCACTACCAAATGTTTTCCATACACCGCCGTGTCTTCCCCAGATAAGACAATTCTGCCCGGTGCGGAAATTATAAAATTAATCAATTCTTCTTCCATCTTTATCTATATGTCTCTTCTTCTCAAAACTGATGTAACGTTGAATAGTACAGAGTTGATCATTAAATTTGCGTAGTTCTTTAGAAACACATTTATTAATATGCAAATATGAAAAATATGTTCTCGTAACGTGAGGAAGGTTTTGTCTTTTATCCTTTCTTTTGTTCTGTAAATGTTAGAAATGCGTAATGTATCAGTTATATGTTTACAAAATCTCGTTTATACATCAAATATATGCACGGAAGAAAAATTTTTTTTTTTTTTTTTTTTTGTCAAAAGTGGTTCTCGTTAAAATCTTTGTGTTAAATATTTAACATATTGATAAGTTGATTTAACATATTGTTGTTGTATTAAATGAATTTAAATGTTAGATTATTAAAACGCCGGAAAAAGTAAGATGTAAAAATAACACAATGTACATTTATTTTTAATTATACTCGATAAATATGTTTATAGTTTTAGTAGTGACATAATTTATCTGTTTAATTTTACGGGAAAAAATGTTGACTTTTATTTTATAACATAAGTGGAGATGACAAATTCTAAAATTAATATGTTTTTAGTTAATTTTTATATTAAAGCTATTTTAATTTTGCACAAAATTTATTTTAATTTATTTGAAATTGTGCATTTAATTTATGGTAAAATGTGAACACAGCATGTGTGGCTTCATTTATATAACATATCTACATATATTATGTTAAATTAATACAAAAATACGTGTTCTGTGGACACGTAATATTTTTAATTTTTAACACAAATCTTTCAACTGTGTGTATACAAAGTAAAAATATTTAAATTTTGTACTTAGTACTTACATTTATTTTTGTGATAAGCGCTTGGTTTCTTTAATAAATAAATTAATGTATTGACTTTTTCTTCCATAGCATCGCACGTATGCCTTTATACATTTTTGATATTTAAATCTATGTAACGTAGGCATAAGAATTTTGTAATAGGAATTTGAAATGTTCGTTATCGCACACAAGACAGTGTTTACATTTCTTGTAACACTCTCGCGTCTCAATCTGACTGAGCTCGTTTCGAGAAACATATAATATTATTTAAAAATCATAATGTCCCGAAACGCGACGCTTGTCGATCGTATCCGAATTAATGATCGGGTCTCCTCGAGAAATGTTGGTATCTCGCGCTTCGAAAAATCCCCCGAACATTCGGGTCCTGGATTTATGATTTTCATATAAGTTTCTAAAAATTCATGCTAATCTTGACTTATTATGTATAAGAGAAAGAAATCGTTCAAGACTTCTTGACTTATTTTTTAGTGAGGAATAATGCTACATACTTATAGTGGGCGATTCTTTAAGTGACATCCTGTATACACAATATTATTCCTGTATTACACAATATTGTACGAAATATTTAACAAAATCTTCGCGTTTCAATTGATTTTACAATATACTCTTACAAATTTTTATATTTTTGTACAAATAATGATAGAAATCTATTAATGTAAAAAAATGTTGTTTTAAGACAAAAGTTTGTAATTTGCAACTATGAAAACAGCTGTATATAATTTATTTATGTGATTCTAAATATTTGTCTGTTAGCTATTAACAATAAGATTAAAATAAATCATATTGTATATGTATGTATATATTTTTGTTGTCTAAGTTCGTGATTTCTTAACGACATCATATTGAATTATAAAATCAAAGATAAAAAAATAATTGAAATTTCCTTGTAAAATATATCGAAATATATAAGTCTTCTATATTATTTTACTCTACGCTATTTTAAGAAGAAGCAACGTCGCCTTGCAATATTTAATCACTATTGCAGGATGCTTTATAACTAAAATATATAATGTATGTTGTGAATGAAAAATGATTCGTTTTTTAATTATATAAATTCTGCGAAGCTGAAAGAAAATAAATTATAAAATAAAATTTATTTAATCAACATTAGATGTATTTTATTAGATGTATCTGTTAGCTGCTAAGCTGTTAATATATTTATTACATACTATACGACGCATGCCTTGTTGATGTATGTTTGTAATAGATAATTCTGATGAATAATTTTACCTTTGTTAATCATCCAAAAAACATTAAAAAATTTTTACTTTTTATTAGGTAATAACGCTACATAATTTATAAGCGCGAACTATGACGCATGTTGTGGTACATTTATGATTTATTATCACATATGTTTTAATTGTGAAAGTATGGAGACAAATTTAAATAATTAATATATACATATAATTGTTAAGGTAATAAATAATATTTTTTGTATATTTTAATACAATCGAAAATAAGTGATATGTAAAAAATTTAATTTATTTCAATATAAATGCAAAAAAATAAATATGATATTTACTGACATCTTTTGAAATAATAATATTTCAAATAACATTTCAATTTGTATGTTAATTCGATAAAAACATAATTATCTCTGTAAAATAATTTTCCTTTTTTCTTATTCAATTTATTTGAAATAGTGACTTTAAAAGTAAAAAATACTGATAAACTAATAGTCAATAATAATAAATTATTCTCTTCAGCTAGCACTCGATTTTAATAGTGTACTAATACCAATTAATAATACTAATATTAAAATATACTTTTTATTATCAATATAATTGTTTGTTATTTATTTGTCTCTTCATATTTCCAAAATTATAACTTGAAATAATAGGTTACTGATAAATATTTTTCAAAATTTACATTTATGGATAATAGGGTGTTATTATTTTAATAAAAATTGAATATTTTGAAATAAACACACAATAGAAAAATTTTTACATAAAATTATTTTACCTGTTTTATTTTTCACAAAAACATGCATCAATAAAATGTACGCTTTATAGTATCAAACATGGAAACTGACAACCTCGCAACTGACACATATATACATATATAGGGAGTCCCGCAACGTGACGTCCACACTAAAACTATTATGTATTCTTAGTGTCATTTTTCTAACAATAAGTCAAAAAGTCTTAAAACACATATGTCCTAAATTCGATTAATTATTCTATAATTAAATTATTTACTTGTTTACTTATAATTTTTAAATATTATATACACATTTATTTATTACTTATTTTTTTGCTATGACAACGCAGATAATTGTTTTTTATAATGTCAATTACGAAAGTTCGATTTTTAATTGCTGTTTAGCGTGCGGAAGAGACTTATTTCTCTACAATTCAATGTATAGTTTACTTTACCGCACACGTGCGAGAAAAACACCTTTATGATTTACTTTGTCGCACAGTTTATAAAGTAGTTAATTATTATTTAATATTATCGTACAATTAATGAAATTATTATCTTCAAAAAATAATACTTATGTTATTTTATGCTATTTTGTATTTTTTTTACTGTAACTTTAAAGCAATCAACTTAAGGACATACGTGTATTAAGACTTTTTGACTTAGAATTGATACTAAGAATACATAGTTATTTCAGTGTGGACACGATGCGGGACACCCTGTATATATCCATCCAGACATATTCATCTACTGAATAACATTGATTATATATTTTATTTCATAATTCATTTTTTAAACATTACAGAAAAATTAATATTCAAAATTGTTCGACTGATTTTTCATTCAAAATCGCATTATATATTGTAAACTATGAAGCAAAAAAAATCTTTGCATATTTTATAGTATAGCAAAGCTTAATCTTGATGCAGTTTCGTCACTTACATTATTGAAATACAATAAGATAAAATATGAAAAAGCTGACATTTTACGATATATTTTACCACAAAAATTCAATGATTTCTTACATTTGATTTTATAATTCGATACATTATTAAAAATTTGCGATTTTTAACAGCAGAATGTATGTATATATATATATATATATATATGTAGAAGAAAAGTATATATTGTTCGTTTTAATTTTCTTGAAATATCACAATTAATAAATTAATAATTTTACCTTCTTTTTTTACACCTATCTTTTTTTACATTTATCATTATTTAATTTTTATTTATATATTTATTATTCGCTATAATTCTAATCGCATCATGAATTATCAATTTTTACTCCTTCACGATCGATCGTGGCAACTCTTGTCATTATACGTGCATCATAGTATACTTTTTTTATAGAATCGATCATTGCGTCTGTAATATCTGGTTGTAGCACAATGTATGCAAATCTTCCTCCAAAACCTGTCTGCTTCGCTCCATATCCAAATTTATTTGCAATAATCCAAACTGCATTAAACGTCGGAGGCGACAAACGATACTCATTCAATAATTGTTGATTCCTCGTAATGTCTTTCTGCAAAATACAAAAAATATTAATTATAAAACTGTTCAGTTTCTAGCAAATAACTATTTAGTTTAGAGAATCTCATCAAAGTAGCAAGGCCATAAAGAATATAATATATAATAATAAAATATGACTGTTAAATAAAAACGAAAAACATACCTGTAAGTCATTGTAATCACGACTCGGAAAAATATTGGCATTACTGTTGTTATTAATATCATCAAGTCTATTATATATTGATTTTGCTATTTCGTCAAATTTATTTATGACTGAATCAAATTCGGAATCAAAAAACTTATGATGTGCCATTTGTTCCGTACGGTCTTTTTTAGCTGTTTGATACAATCTCTTTTGGATTATTAGAATCTTTATAACTTTTTGTAAATTTATGACATCTGCAAAATAAGATTCATAATGCACATATTGGTGTGATCTTATTTTGCCGCGTATGCAAATTTCAGCATCGATCGATGGGAATACATCTTCTTGCATAATATTCTCACAAGTTTCAGTATAACGTTTAATCATCATTAACTCCTCATCATTAAAGCTAATATGATGACCACCCTGTAGACATTTCCAATGAAGAAAACACGCTGCTAGACATACAGCGAACGATGTCGAACTGCCAAGACCAGAGCCTGCGGGTAAATTCGTGGAAACTTGCACGTGAAAAGGTTTCCTTTCGAGATCATAAGTCATAGAATAAAACAAGTAAAAGAACATTTGTAAGCTAAATTTTTGGTCATGTGTGCTCCACAAACCGTGTGTGGTGATAAAGTATGTTATGTATCGGAGAAATTCGATTGGATTTTTATAATAAATTTCTGAGAGATTTGTATGAAAAAAATAGCTTTCAACAATTTCTATAGGTATATCCTTTTGTAGAGCAACACGATTAAAATCAATCTTAATTATTTTTCCTTCTGACTCTGATAGTTCGCGGAATTCGAGCTTGGTACGAATATCTAAAGCGGCCGCTACCAAATGTTTTCCATACGCTGCCGAGTCCTTCCCGGATAAGACAATTCTGCTCGGTGCGGAAATTGCAAAATTAATCAACTTTTCTTTCATTTTTATTTATATGTCTCTTCTTTTCAAAACTGATGTAACGTTGAATAGTACAGAGTTGATAATTAAATTTGCGTAGTTCCTTAAAAACACATTGATTAAAATCCATATATGAAAAACATGTTCTTGTAAAGTGAGGCAGATTTTGTTGTTTCTTTATTCTGTAAATGTTAAAAATGCATAATGTATCAGTTATATGATGACAAAAATATCTCATCGGTTTCACAATAAATTATCAAATATATGCACAGCAGGAAAATTAGTGATTTTTTGTTAAAATAATTTCTGATTAAGTTTTTGTGTTAATTATTTAACACATTTATGTGTTAAAACAACTTAAAAAGAATATAAATTAACACATATTTTACATGTATTTTTAATTTTATACAATAAATATATTTTGCCTTATTAGCGACAAGATTTTTATGTTAAAATTTACGGAAAAACATGTTGTTTTTTATTATATAACGTAAGTGAGAATGATAAATTCTACAATTATATATTTTTACTTAATGTTTACATTATAACTATATGTTAATTTTACACAAAATTTATTTTAAATTATATAAAGATGTGCATTTTTTTATGTTAAAATATTAATACCGGTATGTGTATTCTTTTAACATATTTATATTATGTTAATTTAATAGAAAAATTGCTGTAAATTTTTCGAGACACTTGATATCTTTAATTAAACTTGACACAATTTTTTCAACTGCGTGTATACAAAGTAAATGTACTTAAATTATGTACTTATATATATTCTCGTGATAAGCGCTTGTTCTCCTTAATGAATAACTTGATGTGAATTTTTTACTGCAATTTTTTTATTGTATACTTAAATACACGCTTATTAATTTCTCCAATTATTATTAGTCTATTTCCTTTCCTTCCATTAAAAAAAATTGTCGAAAAAACGCTTTTTTGAGGCCGTTACAGTGGTGTTATTCCTTAAATGAACTCAAATATTAAATTATTAAAACAATGGAAAAGAGATGCAAAAATAGCACATTATGCATCTATTTTTATTTTAAATCATAAATATGTTTCATTGTTTTATTAGCGATAAGATTTAGCAGTTAAAATTTACAGAAAAAAATTAATTTTTTTTCTAATATAAGTGGGGATGATAAATTCTAAAATTAATATATTTTTAGTTAATGTTTACATTATAATTATATGTTTATTTTACACAAAAATAAATGAATTTATAAATTATATGAAGTTGTGCATTTATCTTATGTTAAAATATATTAACACACTATGTGTCTTTATTTAATATATCTATATTAAGTTAAATTAATACAAAAATTTCTGTACATTGTTTGAGACAAGTGATATCTTTAATTAAATTTAACACAAATTTTAACTGTGCGTATAGAAAGTAAAAGTACTTAAATTATGTACTTACATATATTCTCATGATAAGCGCTTAGTTTCCTTAATGAAAAAATTAATGTGTTGATTTTTTCTTTCATAGCATCTCACGTATGCTTTTATACATTTTAATAATTAAATCTTTGTAACGTAGGCAATAAGAGAATTTTGGAATAGGAATTTGTAACGTTTGTTATCGCATATAGGACGGTGTTTACATTTCTTATACACATTCACATCTCAATCGTTACTGAGTTCGTTTTGAGAAACATATAATAATATTACCCAAAAGTCATAATATTCCGAGATCCGACACTTGTCGATCGTATCCGAAATAACGATCGGGTCTCTTCGAGAAGGGTTGGTATCTTTTAATCCGAAAAATCTCCCAAACATTCGGGCCCTAGATTTATGACTACATATACGTTGCTTTAAATTTACGCTAATCATGACAGAGAAATATATAAAAATTTCTACATTTTAAAGAAAAATGTGTTAGTTAAAAACAGAGTTTTTATTGGGTTTACATTATCGTAACGTATAATTGTTCTTGGGCTGTTTGTTTTTACGAATTTTTATTTAAAAATTCAACCGTTTATTAAATATAGACTAATTTTATATATAAATCGATTTCTTGTAATACTCGATATAAGACGTTAGAAGGGTAGAATGATTATAAACAATTGCGATTAGAAACAGTGAATATCTACTTCTTTTAGACAATCCCAATTGTGCGAATTTAATTGTAATAATTGTTATAAGTAATTTATGTCATAATAATTATAGTCAATTTTATATAAGCATTATAAGCGCCATAGAACAAATATTTACTGTCTTCTTTCAATAATATTACACTAATTCGTATGTTAATTCGATAAAAACTTAATTATACCTGTAAAATAATTTTCGGTTCTTTTATTCAGTTTATTTTAAATAGTGATGATAAAATTAAGTAAAAAGTATCTGTAAATTTTTTATAGTTTAGGATGATAAATTATTATTTTCATATGTAGCATTCGATTTTAATAGTGCTAATACAAATTAATAGTATTAAATAGTATTAATTAATAGTACTATAATAAAATATATCAAAAATATTATTTTTTATTATCAAGATAACTATAATTATTTGTGTTTGCATATATTTCCAAAATTATAACATGTAATAATAATATGTAATAATAAATCACCGATATACCACGCGTTTCAAAATTCTGCTTCATGAGTAAAATAGTTTTACTAACTTAATAAAAAATTAAAAATTTCACATAATAAATTACTGAAAATTCAGCAAGTAAAAACGTGACAATTACTTCTAATTATATTTAAAATTTACCATAATCTTTTTAATCAACATCAGGGAATTCTCTCTTATAATAATGTTTATGGTTCATGAGGTAGATCGTAGTATTTTTGAACGTGGTACGAAGTTTTGAGCTAGACATCACGAAATATATTTTCCATACATCATATGATCTGCACGTAAGTCATTTTGTTCAGTGTGAATATTTTAGATATAATATAAGATCGAAATTAATCCAATAAAATTAGACTTGAAAAGGGTAAAACTTCAAAAAAATCATCATAAAACTGAATTTTTGTGGAGGCTTTTATTTTGATATTCTAATAAAATTCTGTAAAGTACTCTTAATTTCAAACAGGGCGTTTTTTGCGGATTATAAAAAAGGCGTAAATTTTAGTTTTTTGCCATTATCTCGAAAAATATCATTTTTTCGAGAAAATTAGTTATTATCAAAATTGTGGCTCATAAAATTCTCTACAGAAAAAGTTATTATACTTTTTTTGTACAACTAATTGTTTTTGAGTAAAACATGCGGTAAAGTTGCAATATTTCTAATAAAATTTTTCTGCATCTCTTGCAAGGGAATTTGGAAATTCAAAAAATTCTGCAACTTGGTGTACAAGTAGAGTAATTTATCCATAACACAAAATCCTTCTTTGTTTGTGCTGAATTACGCGTCCTGAGAGGGTAAAATCACCCTTCATAAGTAGAATGGTTTTTAGCTTTCCTCGGTTTAGTCCGAAAATGATTCAAGATATTAAAAAATGTTTTAGACAAAAGTTTAATGATAAAAAGACTTCTATCTAACCATGTTAATAAAATTTTTCAAAAATAATTTTTCTGTTTAATTTCCAAGAAAATGTATAAATTTGTATATATTTCCCAAAAAAACATTTTTCATCTTAAAAGTTTTGGAAATGTCTGTACTTCAAATTCAACCTAAAAAAAAATTAAATTATGGAATATCAATTTATTATAAACAGCAAATAAAATATTTTTAACTGTTTTTTTAATTAATAAAATTCATTTTTATAGCATAGAGTGTGATAAAATATTTTTATTAAGATGGAAACATTAAAAATAATTAATTAAAGTACGTAAAATGCCGCAAAAATTTTTCATTTATTGGAAATTGGCAGCAATTCTTTCCGTGTCAGAATTGCCGGAAGTCATGTGTCGGCTATCAAGACTGAGATTAATAATGAGGCTTGTAATGATGCCAAATTTGGCAATATACAATATAAAAATACAATATATACTCCAAATAAAAATATACTTTCTCGTCGATCAGTACATAATTGAGATATATAAGAAAATGTGTAGTATTTGTCGAATTATCTGGTTTAATACAATTCAATTAAATAATTTTGACAAAAAATTCATATTATTAGAATCTTTGTTTTTCACAGGTGTCAAAAATGAAAATTATTTTGACTTAATAATTAACTTAATGTAGCACGAATTTCGGTTTGAGAGTAGTTCTTAATTATTTTATAAATAGATAAATCTTTAGTATACAAAACTTAAGATATATTGTACAAAAGGAAGAAATATATATATATATATATATATATATATATATATTATATATTATTTCTCTTCCTTTTGTACAATATATCTTCAGTTTTGTATACTAAAGATTTATCTATTTATAAAATATAATATATATATATATATATATAATATATGGTATATGTATATTACATTTCTTCAAACAATCTCTAGCTATTATTAAAATCCAATTGAAATAATTGTTGTCATTAATTTTACGATGCAATAATACAGTTATTTTCACGTAGACATTATTAAGCAAGAGAAAACTTTGCTGTCATTATTTCAAATAATAATATAATTATTGGTATATGTTACATTGATAAATATTTAAAAATCTTTATGATGGTTTATGTTCTTTTTCTATTTAAGTTACATTGAATAATGAAGTTAGAGTGGAAAGACATAAACTCAAGAGTTTATGAAAATAAATTATTCTTTTCATAAAGCACTCATTTTTGATAGTAACAAAATTTGTATATCAAAAATCTTAGTTTTTATTATCAAGATAATTGCGTGTGTAACTTATTTAATTATGTGTTCATATTTTTAAAAATAGAACATATAATAATGAATCACAAATATACACAACATATTTCATAATATGCGTGTATAAATTATGTAGCGTTGTTACTTTAATGAAAAATTAAAAATTTTGAACTATTTTTTCTGAATACTTAATAAAGAAAAAATTATTAAATAAAAGTCACTACACTAGATTTTTGATAGTACTAAAATATTTCAAAAATCTTACTTTTTATTATCAAGATAATTGCGTGTGTAACTTATTTAATTATGTGTTCATATTCTTAAAAATAGGACATAAAATAATGAATCACAAATATACACATAACATAAACAATACGTTTATAAAATATACGTTTTTGATAATATGTAACTATTAATTTTGCAGTTAACAAATAAATACTTTACTAATGAACATTGATTAGATATTTTATTTCATAATTCCTGTTCTAAGAATTGCAGAAAAAATATAATTCAAAATTGTTAAACTCATTTTTCATTAAAATTGCCTCATATAATTGAAATTATGAATAAGCATTTTGTATATATCAATTACATTAAAAATTAAAAAAATATTCTATTGCAGCGCATAATCTTTATGTGTGTGTGCAATGTTTTCGTCATTTATATTTTTGATGTAGAATAAGATAGAATACAGAGAAAACAAAGATTTTTTGATATATTTTACAAGCAAAGTAATTTTTTATATTTACCTATTTTTTAATTATTGAATTATTTATGTATAATTGTTATACTATAAGGTTAAATAGAATTAAATATCAATTGTCAAACCAGCACAATCGATGGTGGCAATCTTGGTTGTGAAATTTTTATTCGTAAACTGTTCTTGTAAATGTTGGATTTCGACGTCTGTGAGATTTGGTCGTAACACAATGTATGCAAATCCGCCTGCAAAACCTGTAAGTTTAGCTCCGTACTCGAACTGACTTGCAATCTCCGAAATTGTATCAAAGTCCGGTTGCGACAAATGATATTTTTTCAACAATTGTTGGTTCCTTATAATGTCTGACTGCAAAACACAGAAATGTTAATTATAAAATGATATTAATTTCCGGTAAATGATTATATATTGGACAATTCTATCAAGGCCAAGGAATATACAGGGTGTTTTATAGGAAAATGCTGAAATTAATTAGCTGTCATTTATTAATGCATGAAACTATTGAGAAAACAAAAATTGTATTGGGAAAAGGAAAGTCTACAGTTTTTATGGATATAAATAAAATGTTTGTATACCAGTTTATTTTATTGGTAGCAAGTAATAAAGAAGTGCTAATAATCACATAAACTAATGATGAATATTTTTAACAATGCCAAATTTAATAGTAACTATTAAAAGGATCGCCAATAATATTAAAAATGACACGTTAGAAGAAATTTTGTTTCGTAAAAGAATAGAATTTTGTACAAATACAAATGGTACGTACTCTTCGAAATTATTTATCATTAGCTTACATATGTGATTATTAGCACCTTTTTCATTACTTATTTGCAATAAAATATATTGGTATACAAACATTTTATTTATATCCACTAAAAGCTGTAGATTTTCCTTTTTTCAACACAATTTTTGATTGTTTCAATAACTGCATGCATTAAAAAATAACAACTAATTACCCAGCAAACACCAATACATAATTGTTACATTGCTATAATAAAACGGAATATAACAGGTAATATAACGTGTACGTTACATGTAACATCCATGTTAGATGTAATTTCCCACTCATAGATATAACATTTTAATATAACATATATTAGATTGTAGTTATATTGTAATTATATACCAAATAGCACATTGATGTATTGATAAGTCAGTGCTATCTTAGGATATAATGACAATATAACTACAATGTAATATATGTAATATTAAAAATGTTACATCTATAAGTAGGAAATTATAATTAACATATACGTTACATGTAACATGCTTAAGTATATAACATTTATATACTGTGTTTGCTGGGTAGTTTCAGCAATTTCCTATGGGATACCCTGTAATATATAATAAAATAATATCGTTATTAAATAAAAATAAAAAAAATACCTGTAAGTTCTTGTAAGCATTCTGATAGTCAATAGGATTTTCGATGTTACGAATATTGTTAATATATGCAAGTCTATCATATATTGTTAGTGCAACGTCGTCTAATGAATTCATGAAAGTTTTGAAATCCGAAGCTTTAGAATTCAGCACTGCAATTTGTAGCGCTCGCTCCTTTTTATCTTGACGAATATTTGTTGCGATTACTAGCACCTTTAATACTGTTTGTAAATTTGTGACTTCCCCAACAAAATATTTATAACGCTTATGTTGGTAATATTGTACTTGACCGTAAATGCAAGTGTAGGCATCGATGGGGGGCAATACATATTCTTGCATAAAATCTTCACAAGACTCAGTATAACGTTTAATCGTCACCAAATCGTCACGGTTAAATCTAATATGATTACCACGCTGTAGACTTTTCCAATGAAGAAAACATCCTGCTAGACATGCAGCGAACGATGTCGAACTGCCAAGACCATTTCCAAGAGGTATTTCAGTGGTCACCGAAATCCGAAAAGGCGATCTTTTTTCGAGATCGTAAGTAAAAAAATAAAACAGATAAAAGAATACATGTAAGCTAAATCTCTGCTCCAATGTCTCCCACAAACAGTGCATGGTGATAAAGTATGTCACGTATCGAAAAAAATCCATTGGACTCGATTGCATGTCTGAGAGATTTGTGTTAAAAAAGTAGCTTTCAATAGTTTCTACAGGTATGTTCTTCCTTAGGTCAATCCGAGAAAAATTGATTGAAATATATCTTTCAGATTCAGGTAGTTCCTGGAATTCGAGTCTGGTGCGAAGATTTAAACCGGCCACAACAAATTTTTTTCCATACATCGCCGAGTGCTCTCCGGATAAGACGATTCTTCCTGGTGCGGAAATTTTAAAATTAGCCATTCCTTTATTCAATAAAAAGATCTCTTCCTCATAGAACTGACGTAATGTGGAATAGTTGGGAGATGATAATATATATTAAAAATGTAAGGTCGCTAATAAGAATTTTTGAAACGTTTATTATCGCACACAAGAGCATGTTAATATGTCCTCTATACACTTTTGTGTCTCACTTGTAACTGATTTCGTCTCGGACATATAATAACATCATCTCGAAATTATGCTTTTCTATATGAACTACAATGTCAAACTTTTTCAAGATTTTTGGAAAAAGGAAAATATATGTAATATAATCCGATATACAGGGTGTCCAGAAAATCTCCCGCAATACTTGGGAGGTGATTCGGGACCTAAAAAGAAGAAAAAAGTTAATATAAACATAGATCCGGAAATAAGTCGTTTCCGAGTTATAGAAACTTTTATTTAATATTTAAAAATTTAATTTTTTAATTTTTTTTTAATTTTTCGATATTTGTAAATATAATTACATAGTTTTCAAAAATCAAGGATAAACATAAATAAATATTTAAATCAAATTAAATAAGATGTTAAAAATGGCTATCTTCAGCACGAATGCAGGTTTTCTTCTATCAAAGGAATTCTGAACTCTTTGAAAAACATTCCCTCCTTATTTTTTCGAATGCATGAATTATTCTTTATCTTAAATTAACAATATTATTGGGAAAAGCGACTTATTTCCGAATCTTTGTTTATATAACTTTTTTTCTTCTTTTTGAGTCTCAAAACACCTCCCGAAGTATTGCGGCCATTTTTCTGGACACCCTGTCTATTATTTTCAATATCATAAATTAAAATAATAATCATTAAACAAGCTCGTGTATAATAATAATTAGTAAGAGAGATGACTGACATAAAGAAGGCCAACTAATGAGCAGAACAATCTTATTAATTTTGATAACAAAAAATATGTAAAAATATAAACAATTATTTTAACTGTATTCAGTCTTCTCAATACTCGCGTAATTGTATACATAAATTGGCAATTCTAGAATTAAAATTAAATTGAGCGTAAAAGTAAATGCTATTGACAATAACCGAAACGCAACAATCATTTAATACCTATTGAAGAACCTTAGTAAATAACGGATGTTAATTATCATGAAACGGCGATTTCAACGCAAAATCGCTGCCAATACATATACATAGAAAAACCACTCGTTGATATTATAAAATTTTGTTGCAATTTATTACAGGGCAATTAATATACAGGGTGTCACTTAAAGACCGCCCACTAAGTACAATACATAGCGTTAATTTCTTACCAAAAAATAAATCAAAAACTTTTGAACGATGTTTATATCATATCTAATGAAGGAGTAATTATTGAATAAAGTACGGTTAAAAATGCCGAATTTTAACGTGGTGCACGTTAGGAACCGCGCTTTTGGTAGTGTGTGTAAACATAAATTACCAGATTCGCGGCTCAATGCGCCAAATTAAACCTTAGCGTTATTTCGCCGTATTTTATTCAATAATTACTTTTTTATTAAGTGTTATTAAAAAAATTATTCAGTACTTGTCGATTTATCTTTTGCTAAGAAATAACGCTATGTATGTTTAGCGGTCTTTAAGTGACACACCGTATATATCGTACTTTTATCATTAACTCGAGTGAACAAAAGCAAAATGCTCTATTTGTCTCCATGACTTTATCTCCATTTTTTAATTATTCTATAAAAAGATAAATATTTAGTATATAAAATTGAAGATATAAAAACTTAAAAAAAATAAATATTTATTTTATTTAGACAATCTCAATATAGTGCAAGTTTAAGTGTAATAATTATTATAATTAATTTAATTTATAGTAACGTAGTAAAATATTTTCTATATTCATTTTTATTTCATATTTTAATTGTTTCGATTATTTTTTGCTCGTATTGCTCTGCGTTTCAATTTTTGTCTTTATTCCGAAATAATCGAATTCTTGCGAGACTATGAAGCGGCTCGGCTTCTGAATGAGCAGTGCTTACCAGCTATCGACCTAAACTACCCAAGGAACACATGATATCATTTTGATGTCATAATTATGTCACGATAGAAAAAGTCAAATATGATGATTTTTGGTTTTAAAATTTGACGATTTGTGGACGTCAAGAAAACATCGAAAAGACATCCTATTATAGTAATTTCATATAAGAACCAAAACGGTCTAAGAGCTGGAGCACAGACTTTTGCGTAAGAAAATCAACTAATTAGAATCTTTCATTTTTATCTTCAGGATGAAAATCCTGAAGATATAGAAAATGAAGGCTTCTGATTGATACTTATTTACATTATGCTTTTGTCTGTGCTCTGTGGTTCTATATAAGTTTTCTTTTTTACAATATATAAGAAGATTGAAAATTCAATACATTTATCTAGTAAAACATAAAATATATAAATTATAAATTAAAATTATATTATATATCAATTAATTACAAATCGAAAAAGAGTCTTCTATATATTTATTGTATCGCGTAATTATTGACGCGACATTTTCATTACTTATATTTTTGAAGTAAGATTAAATAGAAGACAAAAGAACTAATATTTATTGAATATTTATTGATATAATTTACAAGAAATATATTTAATAATTTCTCTTCTTTTCCTCGACCTTTAATTTTATAATTCAATACATTATTAAAAATTGCTATCTTTAAACAAAAGAGTATATATATATATATATATATATATATATATACACATATACACACAACGTGTATCATAAGTCACACCGTATCTCTGGAGAATAAATTCGTCCAAGTCAAAATAAGTCGAAAATAAAGAATGACAAAATTACATTTAAGTCTTCTTTAAAGAATTACAATCAAATAGTCGAAACATTTATTTATAACAAAATATTTCTCAAAGTTGAAAACCATAACATAAAATAACTAATAACTAGATAACAAGATTGAAATTACATAAGGTGTTCAAATAATCCGTCATTAACTTGAATGTACAAATTAGCACGATTTAAAAGAGAATGTCTTACACGCTACAGAAGGAAGAAGACTTTAAAGGTGGGTTTAGGATGAGCTTAACGTAACGGAACGTAACGGAACGCAACGGGACGTGAAGTGACGTGAAGTAAACTTAACGTTAAAGTATATCTGTCTAATTACGATCGCCATAACGTGCCGTTAAAAAAAACAGCGTGCATTTTGACAGCGTTATTATTCTTGTTGTCATTCTCGTTGGTAGTTTCTATCAAAATGAATTCTGCTGTGAGAAATTATCAAATTTTTAATTTAATTTCGATCGGATATTTTTACCTTCAACGGCGGAAGAGAAAACGAGTACGAACCATTGGTGTGAGAGAGATTTTTCGAAGAAGAATCCAGTTTGGTGACGGACATAATCTGTTAGAAGAACTCCGTTTTAATGATCCGCACTTTTTTTTTATTTATACAAGAATGAATGTTGAAAGGTAATGTCTATTAATAAAGAATCATAAAAGATTAATGGTTTGATCGTATAGGGTTTATTTTTTACATATTATATTTTGCTTTCTTAGATTCGAGTATCTCTTGAGTTTAATTGGTCCACTGTTAAAGAAACGAAAAATGTACACTACTCTTTTACCCTCTCAGAGACTTGCCATAACATTAAGGTTCTTGGCAGCAGGAGACAGTCAGGGTACTCTGAGCTTTTCCTATAGATGTGGCAAGAGCACTATCTCTCAGATCCTGGCTGAAACTACTCGAGCACTTGTAAGTGTTTTGAAGAATGCATTTGTAAAGCCTCCTGCAAATGAAGCGGAGTGGCGTGAGGTGGCTGCTGGATTTTGGGAAGAATGGCAGTTTCCCCATTGTGTGGGAGCCATCGATGGGAAGCACATTCAAATGCAGGCCCCACAAGCTTCTCAAAGTATTTACTTTAATTACAAGAAAACATTTAGCATAGTTCTATTGGCAGTTTGTGATGCATACTACAATTTCATCATGCTCGATGTAGGAGCAGAAGGCTCACAAAGTGATGGCGGAATTTTTCAATCGTCTGAAATGGGTCGGCGATTGAATGATGGATCTATTAATTTGCCAAATTCGAGTAACCTACCAGAAACTGATATTGATATGCCTTACTTCCTTGTAGGAGATGCAGCTTTCCCTCTGAAATCTTACCTAATGAAACCCTATGGCGAACGTAACATATCTCATGACAAGTCTGTGTATAACTTTAGGTTGAGCAGAGCAAGAAGAGTGATTGAAAATGCCTTTGGCATTTTAGCAGCTCGTTGGAGAGTTTTTCGTCGCCCTATTATTAGTAAAGAAGACAATGTGGAAAGCATTATTGAATGTACTATTTGCCTCCACAATTTCATCCTTAAGACAGGCAACAAGAAACTCAACCTGGAGTACTGCCCTCCTTCGTTTGTGGATCAAGAATTGCCAACTGGCGAATTGATAGAAGGAGAATGGCATGATGTTGTCAGTGGGGAAAATGGAGCCATCATTAATGGTCCACGGATGGGTGCAAGAAATGCTGCTCTAGGAATTTTAAAACAGAGAGATGCACTGAAGGAATTCGTGAATGGGCCTGGGGTTATGCGCCATCAAGACACTATTGTGAGGATCCGGCAAGGAATTATCCCCCCTCAAGATCTACACTTACTGCCATGAGTTTTTTTTTTAATTAAATAAATCTTAATACAAAACATGAATAAAACATTTTTATTTAAACACAGAAAGAAATAGAATTTTTATTTTTTAAACAGAAATAAATAGAATTAAACATTTTTATTTTTAAATAAACACAGAAATAAATAAAATAAAGTAATAAAATAAAAATATAAGATAATAAAATAAACGAATTATATATCTATAAATTCTGATAATTTTATATCTTCAGCCTCCTCCTCACAATCTTGGATTATAGATCTAAATTTCCTTCTATATTTAAGTCTTAACGTCATATTTGTCAAATTCTTGAGACAAGATTCAACGTTTCTGCTAATCAAGACGTCTGGATCATTAATTGAAGGTGGTGATGATAGTGGTGGAGTAGGAGCACTGGCTACAGCCATAGATTTATTTAAATTAGTAAGAGTCTCTCTGAACAATTCATCTGTTTCGTCCACCTTTGACCTCTTACGACTTGTAGGTCCCAAATAAGGCATATTAGCAGCTGATGAGCTACAGCCAGGCGAGGAGAGGGTAGAACAGGTAGAAATTATAAAGGGTGCGCTATTAATGTCCACAGCTTGCTCATTTATTATTATTTCTTCATCTGGTGAAGGTGTAGTTTTAGATCTCTAAAAACTCACCTTTAAAAAAAGGTAAAAAAAGGCGACCAGTTAAGGGCACGCCATTAACAAAAATTATCCATTGCAAACCCATGTAGAATCCTATCCTATTGCAAACCCATGTAGAATCCTATGAAAAATTAATCATTGCAAACCCATGTAGAATCCTAGGCAAAATTAACCATTGCAAACCCATGTAGAATCGTACCCATTGCAAACCTATGTAGAATCCTATGAAAAATTAACCATTGCAAACTCATGTAGAATCCTATGAAAAATTAACCATTGCAAACCCATGTAGAATTGTATTAAAAATTATCCATTGCAAACTTATGTAGAATCCTACATTGCAAACCCATGTACAATAGAATTGTATGAAAAATTATCGATTATAAACCCATGTACAATCGTAACAAAAGTAATGAAATAAAAAAAAAATTGCGCCAAGTGAAAGTAGAAACTTGTACCAGTGGAAAATTAAAGTTGCAGACATATATAGAGTCGTATAATGAATCAGTAAAAATTTAAATTTGCAAATGTAGAATCGTACCATAAAAAAACTTATCTTTTAAAAAAAAGATAAACAAGATGCCAAGTCCATGCGCCATGTGAAAAAGAAATAAAAAAATTTTAGTTAAAAAAACTGGGCGCGCTGCTAAGTTTCAAAATTACAATGCACCTTAAAGTAACATTAATTAATTTAAACACAAAACATATTTTAACTGTAATGAGTTTAAAAGTAACAATTTAATTTTAATATTGTTAGAATATTATTTAGCAGCGCTCCCAGTTTTTTTAACTAAAATTTTTTTATTTCTTTTTCACATGGCGCATGGACTTGGCATCTTGTTTATCTTTTTTTTTAAAAGATAAGTTTTTTTATGGTACGATTCTACATTTGCAAATTTAAATTTTTACTGATTCATTATACGACTCTATATATGTCTGCAACTTTAATTTTCCACTGGTACAAGTTTCTACTTTCACTTGGCGCAATTTTTTTTTTATTTCATTACTTTTGTTACGATTGTACATGGGTTTATAATCGATAATTTTTCATACAATTCTATTGTACATGGGTTTGCAATGTAGGATTCTACATAAGTTTGCAATGGATAATTTTTAATACAATTCTACATGGGTTTGCAATGGTTAATTTTTCATAGGATTCTACATGAGTTTGCAATGGTTAATTTTTCATAGGATTCTACATAGGTTTGCAATGGGTACGATTCTACATGGGTTTGCAATGGTTAATTTTGCCTAGGATTCTACATGGGTTTGCAATGATTAATTTTTCATAGGATTCTACATGGGTTTGCAATAGGATAATTCTACATGGGTTTGCAATGGATAATTTTTGTTAATGGCGTGCCCTTAACTGGTCGCCTTTTTTTACCTTTTTTTAAAGGTGAGTTTTTAGAGATTATATCATTCATTTTTGTATATTTTTATGACCGGAATAGAACAATTATTAAACATGTTTATCTAAACTTCTTTGCTTAAAATGATGTGTACAATCATATCCTAGAATCCTGATCATTCCTCCTAAAGCACCCTATTTATATAAATTTACCCATATGTGTGTGTGTGTGTGTGTGTGTGTGTACTAATGTCGAGCATTTTTTATACATTTTCTATTAAATTTAGATAAAAGTTGCAGGATTTCGAAAAAGAAAAAGTTGACACAGACTTTTTCCTAAACGGCGATTTTCAAGGTTATTTAAAGGTCACTTATATTTTCAAAATAGAATTACCTTAATTTTTCTCATATAAATCGATTCCTCGCAATATTTACTATAAAAAGTTGTAAAGGTATAATTTTTACATAATCTTACATAAACTTCGAAATATTACAAATATTTTATTTTATGAAATATTTCAGTTTATGTAAAATTATGTTAACTATCTTTTAAATTATTCACTTTTAGCCATCTTACCCTTACAACCTTTTATAGTGAATATTGCAACAAATTGGTTTATATATATAATATATATATAACATCAGTTATTATTAATTGATGTTTACATTTATTTTTAGACTTACTAGAGCTCAAATGCTCCACATTTTTTGCAAAAACTGTTTATTCTACAGATTTCAAATATGCTTTTAAATGATGATTGAATATTTCCTTTTTTTAATTATTTTTATTATTATTTTTCAATCTCAATCAACTTTTATAACTTTATGCCAGCACGATACAAATACATGTGTCTTTATTTTTTTTATTATTTTCATTATTATTTTTCAATCTCAATCAACTTCTATAACCTTATGCCAGCAGGATACAAATACATGTATGTCTTTATTATTGTATCAACTCTTGTCTTTTCCATGTAACCATGTCTTCATAGTTTGAATTATCCCTTCATCTTCTCAATCTTTCGCAGAGATTTAATTAATTAAATACACTTCACACGAAATAAAGTTTGCTGGAAGATATACAGCAAACGATAACTGTAAAAACATGATTACGTGGAAAGAACAAGAGTTGGTACAGTAAAGGCAAGTAAGTAAGTACATGTAATGTATCGTATTGGCATAACGCTATATCCGCGGAGCAGATAATGTGGCTGTAGAGGTAGTCTGCAGTGCAGCTAATGTGGACGTAGATGTTGATTGAGATAATTGTCTAATATAAAATAGAATTTAAAAATTTAGTTTAAAAAGCTGTTGCATATATAAATAAAGTTTATTTTTTCTAAATTTGGAATATGTTTAATTAATTAATTTTTTAAGTCTATGTTTAATAAATTTTTTAAGTCTGTATTCAATAATTTTATTCATTTGATAAATACATGTATGTCTTTATTTTGATATGTTTAATATAATTAGAAATTCATTATTAATTAGATATGTAAACTATAAATTCATATATAATATTTGAAAATATATGTGAATATTTAAATTTTTATCTTCTCCTTCCTCTCCTTCAATCTCTTTAATATCAATATGTGTATGTGTGTACACGCGCGCACATTTGTACGTATTTATTTAATTATTGGATAGTTGAGAGTACTTAATTGATAAAAAATTATGACAATAATAATCCTTGTTTTTTTTTCTTATTATTTACTCAGATTTTTTTGTCTATCTTATAAGATAAACACTTTAGAGATTGAATATTTCAAGTAAACTAATTGTAAGTAAATTTCACATTAATGCATATAGATGTTTAATCATGAATGTACTAAATAAGTACACAAGACGAACAGTGAGTGAGTGAGTGAGAATGAGAGAGTGTGTGTGTGTGTGCGTGTGTGTGTGAGAAAGAGAGAGAGAGAGAGAGAGAGAGAGAGAGAGAGAGAGAGAGAGAGAGAGAGAGATGGAGAGAGAGAGAGAGAGAGGAGAGAGAGAGGAGTGAGAGAGAGAGAGAGTGAGAGAGAGAGAGAGTGAGAGAGGAGAGAGAAGAGAGAGAGAGAGAGAGAGAGCGAGAGAGAGAGAGAGAGAGAGAGAGAGAGAGAGAGAGAGAGAGAGAGAGAGAGAGAGTTAGCCAACATAACCCCGCACGCTGCCGATATGGCGGAGCGCCACTATCGCCATCTGTTGTAAAACGTGCGAGATGGACAAAATTACCACTACATGCATCTTGCATGTGTTGTGTACGTGTGATATATGTGTGCGCATGTGTTGTATACGTGTGAATACGTGTAGCACGATACTACTATGTATGCGTGGTCGATGATGATAATGATGATGATAATGATGATAATGATGATAATGATGACGGGGACGTTTCTTAATAGAAATTTTTCATATTTCGACTTTGCATTTATATATCTCTGCTTACAAATCACGTAGAGCAGAAATAAAGACACTTTTATTATATAATTCGAACTCAATCTATCGATTAAGTCTAGTATAAACTCGATTGCTTCAGCCATTATTGAGGATTCGAAATATTATAAAGACTCAAATGTCCGACTCGCGTTAAGATACACGGTGTCTCCGCTACGCCCTTAACTGGTCGCGAGACACTACCGTGTCTCTTGATACCAACGCCTTTGTTTGAAAATTGTCCACAGATCTGCAACCGGAAATAATTAAAAAAATTATCGTAATTATTCGAAAATTCGTACAACAAACCATCATATACCAAACTTACTTTCTCTTCCTAATGTGCGGTGTCAGAAATGACATAACACTATATAAGGCCCATTCTGGACGGGTTGAGGCTGCTGCTCCAGACTTCCCCTCCTGCTCAAAAATACGTTTTTCTTTCGCGAATCTCTCGCGAAGAGTATGCCACCTGGCCGTACAATCTGTCGCTGATGCTGAAATCATAACCAAAAAGATATTAAAAAACATATATAAATTAATGTAATAAATATAAATTTAAAAAAAAAGATGCAATATAACCTACCATTCAATGTTTCGCCAACAATCTTCCATGCGGAGTCTTTTATGCCGGAATTTTTGAATCCGGCATGTCCCTTGTCGTATATTTCGGGATGCGCACGAACACACTCTATCAATAACGTGTCGTTAATTGACATCTTCTATTGCTATAAGCTCCGAATGAGCAACACAATGTTAAATGTCAAATTCTTAAACTCGAATGTAGCGCGCGTAAAAAAACAAAAAAAAAAGTTACATTAAAATATTTTAATGTAATTTTAAATAAAAAATTAATTAATTAATAATTGAATAATAATTATTAAGATTATAATTATAATAATTATAATTGTATAAATATAAAATAATTATTACAATAATATATTAGTAACTAATATTATATACATATTTATGATTATAATTATAATAATTATTATCTATAATAAGAATTATAATTAATAATAATTATTTTAATAATTATAATAAATTTTTTAAAGACCGACTAGGCGAAACGCGACAAAGCTTGGCAAAGCTTGATGTCGCGTTAAGTTCTAATAATTCGTTACGTAAAGGCGATCGTAATAGCCGAATTCCGTCGCGTTCCGTTACGTTCCGTTACGTTAAGCTCATCCTAAACCCACCTTAAAGAAGACTCAAACGTAATTTTGTCATTTTTTATTTTGACTTATTTTGACTTGGACAAATTCATTTCCCAGAAATGTGATGTGACTTATAATAAACCCTGTATGTACATATATGTATACATATATGTATATATTAATAAAAAATGTATCGTCTTATTTTCCCTTACAATGTCATAGTTATTAAATCAATAATTTTCTCCCATTCTTTTTACATCTAGTTATTTATAATTATTTAATTATTATACATAATCGTTATAATTATAATAGACTTTTATAATTACCAATTTTTACTCTATCACAATTAATGATGGTATTTATGACATTGGAATCTCGTGCTGTTATGAATGCCAAATATTTCAGATTTCTCCATTGTAATGATTGGTGGTAGTAGAATGTGTGTACAGTCGCCTCCAAAATCTGGAAATCTTTCCATGAATCCAAATTCACTTGCAATCCGGCAAATCATATGAAATTTCTAAAACGACAAATAATTAATCGTTTGTTGTTCTTAATGTAAGTTTTGTTTTAGTTGTTTTTAATGTGTAACTAAAGTTTTCTACATATTTATTTAAAGTGATTAAGAGATTAGCCATAGTTACCCATGTGGATGAAAAATGATATATTATGGAATGGTCCCAGCAAACACCGATATATAATTGTTACATTGCTATAATAAAACGGAATGTAACAGGTAATATAACGTGTACGTACATGTAACATCCATGTTAGTTGTAATTTCCCACTCATAGATGTAACAATTTGATATAACATATTACATTGTAGTTATATTGTAATTATATGTATACCAAATAGCACATTGATGTATTGATAAGTCAGTGCTATCTTGAGATATAATGACAATATAACTACAATGTAATATATGTAATATTAAAAATGTTACATCTATGAGTGGGAAATTACAACTAACATATACGTTACATTTAACATGCTTAATTATATAACATTTATATACTGTGTTTGCTGGGTAGTAATCAAAGCGGTCTAAGAGCCGGACCTCCTTCTCGTAGATAATTATATAAGGAATCTTGATGACGCACAATAAAATTAAAAATTATAGTATATAATAAAATAATAACACTGTTAAATAAAGATGAAAAAATGTAAATAAAATTTAGTGTATAAACGCTCTTAAAAAGGTAAATTGATATTTTTGAAAGCATTATTTTAACGAGTGTACAATTAATTTATTTTGCTATTTTGTTAGATCTATTTTATATAGAATCGAACTTAAAAATGTATTGAACGGTCAGCAAATAAAATATTTTTAACTATTTTTTTAATTAATAAAATTAATTTTTGTAGCATAGAGTGTGGTAAAATATTTTTATTAATGATGGAAACATTAAAAATAATTAATTAAAGTACGATGTAAAATGTCGCAAGAATTTTTCATTTATTCGAAATTGGCAGCAATTCTTTTCGTGTCAGAATTGTCGGAAGTCATGTGTCGGCTATCAAGACTGAGATTAATAATGAGGCTTGTAATGATGCCAAATTTGGTAATATACAATATAAAAATACAATATGTACTTCAAATAAAAATATACTTTTTCGTCGTACATAATTGAGATATATAAGAAAATGTGCAGTATTTGTCGAATTATTTGGTTTAATACAATTTAATTAAATAATTTTGACAAAAAATTCATATTATTACAATCTTTGTTTTTCACAGGTGTAAAAAATGAAAATTATTTTGACTTAATAATTAACTTAATGTAGCACGAATTTCGGTTTGAGAGTAGTTCTTAATTATTTTATACATAGATAAATCTTTAGTATACAAAACTGTAGATATATTGTATAAAAAGAAGAGATATATATATATATTACATTTCTTCAAACAATCTCTAGCTATTATTAAAATCCAATTGAAATAATTGTTGTCATTATTTTTACGACGCAGTAAAACAGTTATTTTCACGTAGACATTATTAAGCAAGAGAAAACTTTGCTATCATCATTTCAAATAATAATATAATTATTGGTATATGTTGCATTGATAAATATTTAAAAATCTTTATGATGGTTTATGTTCTTTTTCTATTTAAGTTACATTGAATAATGAAGTTAAAAGTGGAAAGACATAAACTCAAGAGTTCATGAAAATAAATTATTCTTTTCATAAAGCACTCATTTTGGATACTAAAATATATCAAAAATCTTAGTTTTTATTATCAAGATAATTGCGTGTGTAACTTATTTGATTATGTGTTTATATTCTTAAAAACAGGACATATAATAATGAATCACAAATATACACAACATATTTCATAATTTGCGTGTATAAATTATGTAGCGTTGTTACTTTAATGAAAAATTAAAAATTTGTACTATTGTTTCTGGATACTTAGTAAAGGAAAAATTATTAAATAAAAGTCACTACACCAGATTCTTTAACATAGACAATACGTTTATAAAATATACGTTTTTGATAATATGTAACTATTAATTTCGCAGTTAACAAATAAATACTTTTCTAATGAACATTGATTAGATATTTTATTTCATAATTCCTGTCCTAAGAATTACAGAAAAAATATAATTCAAAATTGTTAGACTCATTTTTCATTAAAATCGCCTCATGTAATTGCAATTATGAAGCATTTTGTATATGAATTAAATTGAAAATCAAAAAAGTCTTCTGTATATTTTATTGCAGCGCATGATCTTGATGCACAGTTTTTGTTATTTATATTTTTGATGTAGAATAAGATAGAATACGGTGAAAACTAAGATTTTTTGATATATTTTACAAGCAAAGTAATTTTTTTACATTTATCTATTTTTTAATTATTGAATTAAATACGTATAATTGCTATAATGTTAATAATAATTAATTATCAATTGTCACACCAGCACAATCGATGGTGGCAATCTTGGTTGTGAAATTTTTATTCGTAAACTGTTCTTGTAAATGTTGGATTTCGACGTCTGTGAGATTTGGTCGTAACACAATGTATGCAAATCCGCCTGAAAAACCTGTAAGTTTAGCTCCGTACTCGAACTGACTTGCAATCTCCGAAATTGTATCAAAGTCCGGTTGCGACAAATGAAAATCTTTCAACATTTTTTGATTTTTGTAACGTAAAACTGCAAAATACAAAAATGTTAATTATAAAATTATATTAACTTCCGGCAAATAATTATTTATTGGATAAATCTGTCAAGGCTACACAATGTACAGGGTGTCTCATAAGAAATTGTTAAAATTAATTAGCTGTTATTTATTAATGCATGCAATTATTGAGAATACAAAAATTGTATTGGGAAAAGGAAAGTCTACAGTTTTTATGGATGTAAATAAAATGTTTGTATACCAGTTTATTTTATTGGTAGAAAGTAATGAAGAAGTGCTAATAATCACATAAACTAATGATAAATATTTTTAACAATGCCAAATTTAATAGTAACTATTAAAAGGATCGTCAATAATATTAAAAATGACATTTTAGAAAAAATTTTGACGAGTTTTCGTGAAAGAATAGAATTTTGTACAAATACAAATGGAACGTACTTTTCGAAAATATTTATCATTAGTTTACATATGTGATTATTAGCACTTTTTTCATTACTTATTTGCAATCAAATGAATTGGTATATAAACATTTTATTTATATCCATTATAAGCTGTAAACTTTACTTTTTTCAACACAATTTTTGTTTTCTCAATAACTGCATGCATTAAAAAATGACAACTAACTAGTTTCAGCAATTTCTTATGGGATACCCTGTAATATATAATAAAATAATATCATTATTAGATAAAAATAAAAAAAATACTTGTATTTCCTTGTTAGCACTCTGATGGACAGTAGGATCTTTAATGGTACGAATATTGTTAATATATCTAAATCTATTGTATATTGTCATTGCAACGATGTCTAATAAATCCATGAACTTTTCAAAATACAAAGAATTCAGCACTGCAATTTGTAGCGCTCGATCCTTTTTATCTTGACGAATATTTGTTGCGATTATTAGCACCTTAATTACTGTTTGTAAATTTATGACTTCCACACCAAAATGTTTATAACCCTTATATTGGTAATATCGTAATTGACTGTAAATGCAAGTTTCGGCATCGATCGTGGGAAATATATATTCTTGCATACAATCTTCACAATACTCAGTATAATGTTGAATAGTCGCCAAATCGTCACGGGTAAATCTAATATGATCACCTTTCTGTAGAAGTCTCCTCCAATGAAGAAAACACCCTGCCAGACATGCAGCGAACGATGTCGAACTGCCAAGACCATTTCCAAGAGGTATTTCAGTGGTCACCGAAATCCGAAAAGGCGATCTTTTTTTGAAATCGTAAGTCAGATAATAAAACAGATAAAAGAATACATGTAAGCTATATCTCTGCTCGAATGTCTCCCACGAACAGTGCATGGTGATAAAGTATGTCACGTATCGAAAAAAATCGATTAGATTCGACCGAAGTTCTGAGATTCTTGTATTAAAAAAATAGTTTTCCACAATTTCTAGAGGTATATCTTTCTTCAGCCCCACCCGAGGAAAATGTATCGAAATAATACTTTCTGATGCAGACAATTCACAGAATTCGAGTCTGGTGCGAAGGCTTAAACCAGCCACAAGCAATGTTTTTTCATACGCCGCCGAGTGTTCTCCAGATAAGACAATTCTTCCTGGTGCGGAAATTTTAAAATGAGCCATTCCTTTATTCAATAAAAAGATCTCTTCCTGATAGAACTGACGTAATGTTGAATAGTTGGGAGTTGATAATATATATTAAGATTGTAAGGTCGCACTAATAAGAATTTTTGAAACGTTCGTTATCGCACACAAGAGCGTGTTTATATGTCCTGTACACACTTTCGCGTCTCACTTGTAACTGATTTCGTCTCGGACCTATAATAACATCATCTAGAAGTCGTGCTTCCTATATGGACTACAATGTCAAACTTTTTCAATATTGTCGAAAGAAGGAAAATATCTGTAAACCTAAACATATTGCAATATACAGGGTGTCCATAAAATCGCTCGCAATACTTCGGGAGGTAATTAGGGACCCAAAATGAGGAAAAAAAATTATATAAACATAGGTCCGGAAATAAGTCGTTTTCAAGTTATAGTCACTTTTATTTAATTATTTATAATTTTATTTTTTTTTAATTTTTTCGATATTTGTAAATATGATTACATAATTTTTAGAATTAGAAAAATAACAATAAATAAATATTTATAAATCTAAATAAGATGTTTAAAATGGCAACCTTCAGCACGAATGCAGGCTCTTATTCTTCCATCAAAGATATTCTGAACTCTTTGAAAAACATTTGAATCCCTTCTTACTTCTCCGAATTCATATAACTTATTCTTTGACTTAAGTTAGCAATATTATTGTGAAAATCATTTTATTTAATTTAAGATTGTAACAAACTGAGAAATAAAATTTTTTTTAAATAAAAGTAGTTATAATTTGAAAACGATTTATTTTCGAATCAATGTTTATATAATTTTTTATTTCTTTTTGGGTCCCGAAACATCTCCCGAAGTAAGCGGGCAATTTTCTGGACACTCTGTATATTATTTTTAATATTATAAATTAAAATAAAAATCAATAAACAAGCTCATGTATAATAATAATTAGTAAGAGAGATGACTGACGTAAAAAAGGCCAACTACAAGCGGAAATTGTTTAAGGATGTTAAAATATTTTTTATTTGATCCTATCAATTTGATAGCAAAAAAATATATAAAGGTAAACAATCGTTTCAACTGTATTTAGTCTTTCTCAATACCCGCTTAATTCTATACATAAATTGATAATTCTAAAATTAAAATTAAATTGAGCGCAAATAAATGTTATTGACGATAACCGGAACGCAACAATCATTTAATAAAAGAACCTAATGAAGAACCTTAGTGATTAACGCATGTTACAGTTATCATGAAACGGCGGTTTCAACGCAAAATCGCTGCCATACATATACATAGAAAAACCACTCGTTGATATTATAAAATTTTGTTGCAATTTATTACAGGGCAATTAATATACAGGGTATCACTTAAAGACCGCCCACTAAGTACATAGCGTTAATTTCTTACCAAAAAATAAATCAAAAAGTTTTGAACAATGTTTATATAATATCTAATGAAGGAGTAATTATTGAATAAAGTACGGTTAAAAATGCCGAATTTTAACGTGGTGCACGTTAGGAACCGCGCTTTTGGTAGTGTGTGTAAACATAAATTACCAGATTCGCGGCTCAATGCGCCAAATTAAACCTTAACGTTATTTCGCCGTATTTTATTCAATAATTACTTTTTTATTAAGTGTTATTAAAAAATTATTCAGTACTTGTCGATTTATCTTTTGCTAAGAAATAACGCTATTGTATGTTTAGCGGTCTTTAAGTGACACACCGTATATATCGTACTTTTATCATTAACTCGAGTGAACAAAAGCAAAATGCTCTATTTGTCTCCATGACTTTATCTCCATTTTCTAATTATTCTATAAAAAGATAAATATTTAGTGAATAAAATTGAAGATATAAAAAGTTAAGAAAATAAATATTTATTTTATTTAGATAATCACAATAGTGCAAATTTAATTGTAATGATTATTATAATTAATTTAATTTATAGTAACGTAGTTAAAATATTTTCTATGTTCATTTTTATTTCATATTTTAATTGTCCCGATTATTCTTTGCTCGCATTGCTCTGCGTTTCAATTTTTGTCTTTATTACGAAATAATCGAAATCTTGTAAGACTATGAAATAAATATGTATATGTACACACACACACACACACATATATATATATATTAATCAAAAGTATATATTGTTTGTCTTATTTTCCCTTACAATGTCACAGTTATTAAATCAATAATTTTGTCCCATCCTTTTTACATCTAGTTATTTATAATTATTTAATTATTTATACATAATCGCTATAATTATAATAGACTTTTATAATTACCAATTTTTACTCCATCACAATTAATGATGGTATTTATGAAATTGGAATCTCGTGCTGATAATGGAAATGTACATGTCCAAATTTGGTAATATATAAAAATTCAATATATGTACAAATAAAAATATACTCTCTCGTCGATCAGTACATAATTGAGATATATAACAAAATATTCAGTATTTGTCAAATTATATGGTTTATAATATAATTCAATAAATAATTTTGACAAAAAATTCATATATTACCCACAAACACAGTATATAAATGTTATATACTTAAAAATGTTACATGTAACGTATATGTTAGTTGTAATTTCCCACTCATAGATGTAACATTTTTAATATTACATATATTATATTGTAGTTATATTGTCATTATATCCCAAGATAGCACTGACTTATCAATACATCAATGTGCTATTTGGTATACATATAATTACAATATAACTACAATGTAATATGTTATATCAAAATGTTACATCTATAAGTGGGAAATTACAACTAACATGGATGTTACATGTAAGGTACACGTTATATTACCTGTCATATTCCGTTTTATCATAGCAATGTAACAATTATATATCGGTATTTGCTGGGTTAGCGCAAAAAAAAAACTTTGCTATCATATCATTTTAAATAATAATATAATTATTGGTATATGTTACATAATTAAATATTTAAAAATCTCTTTCTCTCTCTCTCTCTCTCTATGATGGTTTATGTTCTTTTTCTATTTAAGTTATATTAAATAATGAAGTTAAAAGTGCTCTGCGTTTCAATTTTTGTCTTTATTCCGAAATATTCGAATTCTTGCGAGACTATGACTATCGATCTAAACTATTCAAGAAACACAACGCATTCAAAATTACATTATTTTGACGTCATAATTATGTTACGGTAGAAAAAGTCAATATAATGATTTTTCGTTTTAAAATTTGACGGTATGTGGCCGTCAAGAAAACATCAAAAAAACATCTTATTATAGTAATTTAATATAGTAACCAAAGCGGTCTAAGAGCCGGACCTTCTTCTAGTAGATACTTATATGTAGAATCTTGATGACGCATAATAAAATTAAAGATTATAGTATATAATAAAATAATAACACTGTTAAATAAAGATGAAAAAATATATATAAAATTTAGTGTATAAACGCTCTTAAAAAGGTAAATTGATATTTTTGAAAACATTATTTTAACGAGTGTACAATTAATTTATTTTGCTTTTTTGTTAGATCTATTTTATATAGAGTCGAACTTAAAGATGTATTGAACGGTATGTCTATCTTAAAAGTTAATCCAAAATATCAATTAAAGTTGAGCAGAATACGAATTTTAATTAATCAAACATTTTTTTAAAAATCACAAATCATACTCCAAAGTATTCTTTAATATATATAGGTTTTAATTTCCACGAAAATGTATAAATTTGTATATATTTCCCAAAGAAGCATTTTTCATCTTAAAAGTTTTGGAAATGTCTGTATTCTAAATTCAACTTAAAAAAAATAAAATTATGGAATATCAATTTATCATAAACAACAAATAAAATATTTTAACTGTTTTTTTAATTAATAAAATTCATTTTTATAGCATAGAATGTGGTAAAATATTTTTATTAATGATGGAAACATTAAAAATAATTAATTAAAGTACGATGTAAAATGCCGCAAAAATTTTTCATTTATTGGAAATTGGCAGCAATTCTTTTCGTGTCAGAATTGCCGGAAGTCATGTGTTGGCTATCAAGACTGAGATTAATAATGAGACTTGTAATGATGCCAAATTTGGCAACATACAATATAAAAATACAATTTGTACTTCAAATAAAATATACTGCGAATAAAATATTTTAACTGTTTTTTTAATTAATAAAATTCATTTTTATAGCATAGAATGTGGTAAAATATTTTTATTAATGATAGAAACATTAAAAATAATTTATTAAAGTACGATGTAAAATGCCGCAAAAATTTCTCATTTATTGGAAATTGGCAGCAATTCTTTCCGTGTCAGAATTGCGGAAGTCATGTGTCGGCTATCAAGACTGAGATTATTAATGAGGCTTGTAATGATGCCAATTTGGCAATATACAATATAAAAATACAATTTGTACTTCAAATAAAAATATACTTTCTCGTCGACAGTACATAATTGAGATTATAAGAAAATGTGCAGTATTTGTCGAATTATCTGGTTTAATACAATTTAATTAAATAATTTTGACAAAAAATTCATATTATTAGAATCTTTGTTTTTCACAAGTGTCAAAAATGAAAATTATTTTGACTTAATAATTAACTTAATGTAGCACGAATTTCGGTTTGAAAGTAGTTCTTAATTATTTTATAAATAGGTAAATCTTTAGTATACAAAACTGAAGATATATTGTACAAAGAAAGATATATATATATATATATATATATATATATATATATGTATTACATTTCTTTCTTCAAACAATCTCTAGTTATTATTAAAATCCAATTGAAATAATTGTTGTCATCAATTTTTACGATGCAGTAATACAGTTATTTTCACGTAGACATTATTAAGCAAGAGAAAACTTTGCTATCATCATTTCAAATAATAATATAATTATTGGTATATGTTACATATATAATATTTAAAAATCTATATGATGGTTATGTTTCTTTTTCTATTTAAGTTACATTGAATAATGAAGTTAAATGTGAAAAGACATAAACTTAAGAGTTCATGAAAATAAATTATTCTTTTCACTCATTTTTGATAGTAACAAAATATATATATCAAAAATCTTAGTTTTTATTATCAAGATAATTGCGTGTGTAACTTATTTAATTATGTGTTCATATTCTTAAAAATAGGACATGTAATAATAAGACACAAATATACACAACATATTTTATAATATACGTGTATAAATTATGTAGCGTTGTTACTTTAATAAAAAATTAAAAATTTTGAACTATTGTTTCTGGATACTTAGTAAAAGAAAAATTATTATTAAATAAAAGTCATTACACCAGATTCTTTAACATAAACAATACGTTTTATAAAATATACGTTTTTGATAATATGTATATAATTATTAATTTCGCAGTTAAAAAATAAATACTTTACTAATGAACATTGATTAGATTTTTATTTCATAATTCCTGTTCTAAGAATTGCAGAAAAAATATAATTCAAAATTGTTAGACTCATTTTTCATTAAAATCGCCTTATATAATTGAAATTATGAATAAGCATTTTGTATATATCTATTAAATTAACAATTAAAAAAATTATCGGAATATTTTATTGCAGCGCATAATCTTTATGTGTGTGTGCAATGTTTTCGTCATTTATATTTTTGATGTAAAATAAGATAGAATACGATGAAAACTAAGATTTTTTGATATATTTTGCAAGCAAAGTAATTTTTTATCTTTACCTATTTTTTAATTATTGAATTATTTATGTATAATTGCTATAAGGTTAATAGAATTAAATATCAATTCTCAGACCATGAAGATCGAAAGTAGCAATTCTGGTTCTGAAACTTCTATTCGAGAACTGTTCTCGTAAACGTATGATTTCTAATGTTGTGAGATTTGGTCGTAACATAATGTATGCAAATCCGCCTGAAAAACCTGTAAGTTTAGCTCCGTATTGGAACTGACTTGCAATCTCCGAAATTGTATCAAAGTCCGGTTGCGACAAATGATATTTTTTCAATAATTGTTGATTCTTTATAATGTCTAACTGCAAAACACAAAAATGTTAATTATAAAATGATATTAATTTCCGGCAAATAATTATATATTGAACAATTCTATCAATGTTAAGGAATATACAGGGTGTTTTATAGGAAAATGCTAAAATTAATTAGCTGTCATATATTAATGCATGCAACTATTGAGAAAACAAAAATTGTATTGGGAAAAGGAAAGTCTACAGTTTTTATGGATATAAATAAAATGTTTGTATACCAGTTTATTTTATTGGTAGAAAATAATGAAGAAGTGCTAATAATCACATAAACTAATGATGAATATTTTTAACAGTGCCAAATTTAATAATAATTATTAAAAAGATTGTCAATAATATTAAAAATGACATGTTAGAAAAAATTTTGACGAGTTTTCGTAAAAGAATAGAGTTTTGTACAAATACAAATGGTACGTACTCTTCGAAAATATTTATCATTAGCTTACATATGTGATTATTAGCACCCTTTTCATTACTTATTTGCAATAAAATAAACTGGTATACAAACATTTTATTTATATCCACTAAAAGCTGTAGATTTTCTTTTTTTCAACAAAATTTTTGGTTGTTTCAATAACTGCATGCATTAAAAATAACAACTAATTAGTTTCAGCAATTTCTTATGGAATATCCTGATATATATAATAAAATAATATCATTATTAAAAAAAAATAAAAAAAATACCTGTAAGTTGTTGTAAGCTTTCTCATGATAAATAGGATTTCTGATGTAACGAAGTTGGTGAATATGTACAAGTCTATCATATATTGTTCGTGCATCGTCGTGTAATGAATTCATGATAGTTTCGAAATTCAAAGCTTTAGATTTCAGCACTGCAATTTGTAGTGCTCGCTCCTTTTTATCTTGACGAATATTTGTTCCGATTATTAGCACCTTTATTGTTTTTATATGTGTGACATGCGTAACAAAATGTTTAAAATCCATACATTGGTAAGATCGTATTTGACCGTAAATGCAAGTTTCGGCATCGATCGTGGGAAATACATATTCTTGCATACAATCTTCACAACACTGAGTATAACGTTGAATAGTCGCCAAATCTTCAGGGGTAAATGTAATATGATTACCATTTTGTAGATACCTCCAATGAAGAAAACATCCTGTCAGACATGCAGCAAACGATGTCGAACTGCCAAGACCATTTCCAAGAGGTATTTCAGTAGTCACCGAAATCCGAAAAGGCGATTTTTTTTCGAAATCGTAAGTACAAAAATAAAACAGATAAAAGAATACAAGTAAGCTAAATCTCTGCTCGAATGTCTTCCACAAACGATGCATGGTGATAAAGTATGCCACGTATCGAAGAAAATCGATTGGATTCTCCCGAATTGCTGAGATATTTTTATTAAAAAAGTAGTTTTCTACAATTTCTAGAGGTATATCTTTCTTCAGCCCCACCCGAGGAAAATGTATCGAAATAATACTTTCTGATGCAGACAATTCACAGAATTCGAGTCTGGTGCGAAGGCTTAAACCAGCCACAACCATTTTTTTTCCATACGTCGCCGAGTGTTCTCCAGATAAGACAATTCTTGCTGGTGCGGAAATTTTAAAATGAGCCATTCCTTTATTCAATAAAAGATCTCTTCCTGATAGAACTGACGTAATGTTGAATAGTTGGAAGTTGATAATATATATTAAGATTGTAAGGTCGCACTAATAAGAATTTTTGAAACGTTCGTTATCGCACACAAGAGCGTGTTTATATGTCCTGTACACACTTTCGCGTCTCACTTGTAACTGATTTCGTTTCGGACATATAATAACATCATCTCGAAGTTGTGCTTTCCTATATGGACTACAATGTCAAACTTTTTCAATATTGTCGAAACAAGGAAAATATTTGTAAGCCTAAACATATTGCAATATACAGGGTGTCCATAAAATCGGGCAAATAAATACTTTACTAATAAACATTGATTAGATATTTTATTTCATAATACCTGTTCTAAGAATTGCAGAAAAAATATAATTCAAAATTGTTAGACTCATTTTTTATTAGAATCGCCTCATATAATTAAAATTATGAATAAGCATTTTGTATATATCAATTAAATTAAAAATTAAAAAAGTCTTCGGAATATTCTATTGCAGCGTATAATCTTTATGTGTGTGTGCAATGTTTTCGTCATTTATATTTTTGATGTAAAATAAGATAGAATACGGTGAAAACTAAGATTTTTTGATATATTTTACAAGCAAAGTAATTTTTTTACATTTATCTATTTTTTAATTATTGAATTAAATACGTATAATTGCTATAATGTTAATAATAATTAATTATCAATTGTCACACCATCACAATCGATGGTGGCAATCTTGGTTGTGAAATTTCTATTCGAAAACTGTTCTTGTAAATGTTGGATTTCGACGTCTGTGAGATTTGGTCGTAACACAATGTATGCAAATCCGCCTGCAAAATCTGTAAGTTTAGCTCCGAACTGGAACTGACTTGCAATCTCCGAAATCGTATCAAAGTTTGGTTGCGACAAATGATATTCTTTCAACAATTGTTGATTTTTTATAATGTGGAACTGCAAAATACAGAAATGTTAATTATAAATTATATATATATATATATATATATATATATATATACATATATACATATGTAACGTTTTATTTTAACATAAAAAAATAATATTTACTTTGTTGCAATTTATTACGCAATTAATATACAGGGTGTTACTTAAAGACCGCTCTAAGTACATAGCGTTAATTCCTCACCAAAAATTAAATTAAAAGGTTATGAATGATGTTTTTACCATACCTAAAGAGGAGTAATTATTGAATAAAGTACTATTAAAAAACGCCGAATTTTAACGTGGTGTGACTTTATATCCGTTTTCTAATTATTTTATAAAAAGATAAATATTTAGTATATAAAATTGAAGATATATAAAAAGTTCAGAGAAATAAATATTTATTTTATTTAGACAATCCAATGGTGCAAATTTAATTGTAATAATTATTAATTTCATTTATAGTAACGTCGTTAAAATATTTTCTATATTAATTTTTATTTCATATTTTAATTGTCCCGATTATTCTTTGCTTGTATTGCTCTGCGTTTCAATATTTGTCTTTATTCCAAAATAATTAATATTGGGAAGGCCATAAAGCGGCTCGGCTTCTGACTGATTGTGAGCAGTGTTTACCTTTTTTCGAGTGTTTCGCCGGGCCAGAATGCTCTCACATAAGCTGTTCGGCAATAACAATTTCGTTTCTTGCACCCGATACTTAATAAAATTGTGGTCAGCTATCAACCTAAACTACCTATTCGAGCTAAACTATATTTCGCTTTATCGCAATTATTGTCTTTGATCGTCGCGAACAAATTAATTATACGTCGACTCAGTTCTTTTAATCGAATAAACTCCGCTGTTTTTTTCCAAAAGTATTGAATTTACTTTAAACACACGCATTTATTTTTAAATCCACTGCATATTTATTGCGCTATTTCTTAACACTAGTCATTTTTATATACACATTAGAAGCGCAAAGAAATTTAGCTGTCATCTTTTCCAATAATAATTTATATATGTTAATTCAATAATTACTCTATTATCTCTATTAAAATTTCCGTTTTTTCCATTTATTGTAAATAATGAATTAAAAGTAAAAAAAAAAAAAAACCAGTAAATTTTTTTCAAGAGTTTATGAAAATAAATTAATTTATTGCATAGCACAATTTTCAAGTAGTAAGAAAATTTATTAAAAATATTACTATTTATTATCGAAATAATTGTATGTAATTTATTTAATTGTCTTTATATTTCCAAAAGTAAATATGTCATGATAAATCACAGATATACAACGTGTTTCAAAATTCTCATTTATGAATTAAATAGTGCCATTATATAGTTTTATAAAAAATTAAAAATTTTACTAAATATACTACTAAAAATTTTTAGTAAATAAAAAGTTGATTATTTCCACATAAATATTTTTACATTAATCAGAGAAGTCAATACTAATGTTTTTGGCTCATCAAATAATTCGCAGTATTTAAACTTGTACAAAGATTTGAGCTGACCGCAACATATTTTCTCTGCATCATCATAATTCGCATAAGATCATTCTGTAAAAATATTGAATTTAATTAATCGTAAGTATTTTTTGATGTATAAAAGAAATTGCAAAAGACCGATGTGTCGTAGAACAGTAATTGCAAAATTCTGCATCGTAGCTCTTGTAGATATTTATTGAAGTTTGAGAAATGTTTTTTAATTTTGGCGAAAATAGCGTCACTACGGTCGCCATTTTGAATTTATCAAAATTTACCAGACGGCATTCGATTTTACGTGAAAAAAGCTAAAATTAAATCCTAATACGACCCTCTACTTTTAAGTGAAAAATGGGCAGCCCGCGGTAGTGTGCCTTTTGACGCGAAACGTACGATATATAAAACTCATATAAAAGTAATAGAAATATATATATATATATATATATATTTTTTTTTGTTCTTTTCTTGAGACAATATCTAGCTATTGTATAAATCCAATAATATTGTCATAATTATTATAATTGTCGTAATTAATTTACATCGTTGTAATGTTGTCATATTTTATATAGACATAATTAATACAAAAGAAAATTTTGCTGCTATCTATAGCTATCTATAGCTGCTATTTATAATATAAAAATTCGTATATTAGTTCGATAAACACTTTATTATCTCTATTATAACTTCCGTTTCACTATTAAATTTAATTTCAATTGTATAACTAAGTTAAAAATGAAAAAAATGTCTTACATTTATAAAAATAAATTATTCTTTTCATACAGTACTTATTTACAGTAGTACCAAAAATATATCAAAATATTATATCTTTTATTAACAAAATTAATTCTATGTAACTTATTTAATTGTCATCATATTTTCAAACCTAGTACATGTAATATCAACAGACATCAATGTGTTCCAAAATTCACGTTCATGAATAAATAGCGTTATTAATTTAATAAGAAATTAAAAAATGTATTAAGTTTGAGTAATCTATTTATACGTAACATAAATAAGAATACCTAGATAATATTTCTCGAATCTTTTTTATTTTATATAATATAAACTGATAATGCGTAACGTCGTTTATGAGTGGTAAACATAATTTTTCATCTATATTTAATCCAATTATAATTCTAAAATGCTAAAATTCAATCAAATTCTAATTCCATCCTATCAAAATAATCGTATATTATATTACGTACCTCTGTCTCTTCTCTCAAGGCTCCACACAGAAGCCTGGATAATACATATTTTAATTATTGAAACTTATAAAATAAAAATTCGTAAATAAGAAATAAAATATGTAAACATATGGATGATTATAAATTTACAGAAATATATATAATTATTCAAGAACATTAATTATAAAAGATTTCATCTTTTTACCATGTTAATCCATTTCGCGTTTCCATTATGATTAATTTCTCAACAATAATAACGTTTCAAAAACTTAAACTAAATATCGATTACAGGAAAGGAGGGAAAGGAAGGTGAAATGGTGGTAGTAAAACTAGGAAG